CTTCAGGTTGATGAAGTTCTGAGAATCTCCAACTGTTTAATTAAAATTAAAATATTCTTTCAAGACTGTAGAACTGTTTAATTAAAATTAAAATATTCTTTCAAGACTGTAGAATGTTCTTGAAGTATTCAAAGTTTCAAAAGCCTATTGAATGTGATGGAATCCATTGACTAGATTCTACGGACTTGATTTAACATTCTCTATACGGAAGACCCGTGCCTTGGTGATTTAGCTATATTGTCAAGAATTAGCCTCCAACAGCTGAAATTCGGGCATAAACTTCAACGAAGAGATGGAAATTTCTACATACACCTAATATGTATAAATTTCTATCTCTCCGATGAAATTTATGCACGGAATTCAGCTGCAGGATAGTTTGAATGGCTTCGCACATAAAAAAGCCTGTGCTTCCTGTATTTTTTAATTAAATATTAATAAAAAAAAGCTCTTACCCGTATAAAATGCGTGTAAATAAGGAATTGGTACCGAATGGTGTTAACCAAAGCTAACTCCATTTAAAATAAAAATAAATATCCCAATGCTTTTGTAAAAATTAATTCAATCATTACCTAGTTACAAACAGGGACACAATGCTTCAGGTTAAAAAGTCCATTTCTTTCGATTAGAATTAAAGTCTTGATTTTGTATATAACTCCGAATGTGAGTTCGTCTCATGCATCGAATAAAAAATCCCGTTGAAATTAAATTATAACTTGATTTTTTTCATTTTTTTTTTGTCAGATGTCAATGTTTTTCGAAATTTTGAAATCTTGATTTTATCTTTCTTTCTTATCTCGAAGAATTTTCCTCTAGAAAAATACTGTAAGTCTCAGAATCTTGGGATGTTTCCCAAGATTTTAAAGGCCAGGAGATTCACAGCTTGTCTAATTTTTTTTGAACAAAATTTCATCGAATTTTTTGTAGGCATAAGTGTTTTGTGGAGATTTATGAAACTTTTGAAGAGGTCAAAAATATAATTAATAAAATTCTCATTCAATTTGTTTTTAATATTCACGTACTATATTTTTATTAAATGACTGTCAAGGAACGATCTTGCATTTTTATCTTAGTCTTAGAATAATGACAATTGATCTAATTTCGTAAAAGTCAATGTTACATTTCTATTTGAAGAATTTATACTTACAATCTGGGACCACATTGCGCATCTCTAAACGAAACACTCTTTGTACGAATGATTGTATGAAAAAGTTTTTCGTTTCGAGATGCGCAATGTGGCCCCTGTATAAGAGATATATATTTTTTAGGTAAAAAATCTTGAAAACAAATGAGTTTGTGATCTCAAAATAAATTTTTATTTTAACATTCAGAATGATATGAATTGTGCATGGACAAATATCTTGAACATTTTTCTAAGTACTCAATGTATAAAATTTATTCTGTGTGCACTTTACATATGTTTCAAATAAAGAATTTTAGAAACTTATAAAAATTCAAACTCCTATAATCTGATTTTGGTTCCTATGTCTGAGATTTTACTGATGATGAAATATTCAAAATTTAAAAAAAGCTAATTATAGAATTCATGGAATTAACTAACTCTGAGAATGTTCTTCAGTTTGGGATGCTTACATTTATGCGATCCGGAAGCTATGTGGTTTCATTGCAAACGACAAACGATCATTGCGTGTTCAAAATCAGTAAGTTTTTAAGGCTCTCCCAATCAAGGTCCGAATCGTTGTTATGAAATAAATATAATCAAATGTATTGTTTCACCATTAACATAAACAATAACAACCTTCCACATAATTTTTCTAGCTAAGGAACTGTGAATATTACGATGTAAAGTGTACACGAGTGCAAAACATACTGTTCAACTCTCTAATATCTTTAAAACGATCATCAAAAGGGAAATCAAAACTGATCAGCTTTTTCTGTGATCGATCTGCTCATTATCCCTCCAATACCAACTGGCAACGTACCGCTTTGCCAGGTTCCTGATTGACATAAATATCGATTCTTCGAATTTAGATTCCAATAGCAAAGTAGATCTGCAATTTATTTTGCTGAAATTCAGTAAAACAATTGTCGAGGCTCAGCTAACAAATTAGGTTATTGCTGAGATCTCAGCTAGCAAACATATATTTTGCAGAGATATCAGCAAAAGTAATACCGACGCAATCGGTTGTTGGAGATTTTACCGAGCTAGATTCAGTTTGTAGAAAGCCTAGAAGTAGCGTTTTCAAAATACTTGAAACTTCAACTGGGAAACGGAGCCGAGGATTGATGAACGATTCAGAAGATTGCCGAGGATTGATGAACGATTGATTGAAGATTATGAACAAAATCGACTTTGTTGCACTCGATATCCCTCCACATATGTCTGGCCCTGGGCTTTCGTAAACGTAATTACGCCCTGCTTACAATACATTATGTATGACGATCAAAGAAGGACACCAGTTGCAATTGAAAGTGTTTCAAACTATATTCCTGACCCATTGCTCCTGTCGATGACGACTTTGGTGCTGCACAAGATATAACTTACAACATTTAGCCTGACCCGTTGAAATGAATTCAATTTCTTACGCAGTTTAATTCCAATAAACTTGAAATTGTCATCCCTTCTGATTAGTTTTTATCGTATCAATTTTTAATATTCCAAAGTAGGTTCCGCAGGCTCTTGTGCAGCGAAAACCAATTAGCATCCAAAGCTGGACTGGCTCTAATACAATTTACGGACGCCTCGAAAGAGCCATATCACGCAAAATCTCCTGCCGTGGCACATTGGAATGCTTCCTTGGGTGCCACAGTCTGAAGTTTCTTATTCGTAGATAGGTATATACCAAGCGGTATGTAGCGCATTACAATGCATTCGGCTTTGAAGCTGAACTCAAACAAAATACTTTACCGAACGTTGTACACGTGGTGGTGGCATTCCGCGCGTATAAACATTAGACTGGCCCACATTTATATGGGGGAAATTTTTTATCATTTTTTGCTACGGGCCAACCTCTAAATTTGTGCCATTAGGTGAGAAGAACCACTCTCTGAAAATTTCAGCTCATTTGGATGTAACACGAGCTGCCGCTTTTGATTTAAAATTTATATGGGGATATTGGTTGAAATGTATGGAGAAATAATATTCTTTCACTCTTTCGTGTATAGAACTGGTTTGCCCTTAACACAGCATTACGATTCAAGTTAGTTTTATGGAGATATTAATTAATTGTGTGCATTCTGCTCGTATATTGCAACAAATTACAGGCATGTTATGCAACGTATCGTATAAAAGTTCGTATTTTCCACAGGCCAACATCCAGGCTCGTGTCTTTGGGTGTGATATCCACTCTCTGAATGTTTCAGCTCTTTTTACGTTACACGGGCTGGCGCTTTTGGTTTAATGTTCATATTGGACATTTGGTTGAAATTTGAAAGTCTTGAAAATCTGAATCAAATCGAGAATAAGGAAACTTTTTATGATCGATAGAGTGTACCTAGGAGTGTTATTTTTTCATGTACTTTATCCAAATTCCCCATACAAAATTCAAACTAAAAGCGCCAGCTCATGCTACAACGAAATGAGCTAAAACTTTCAAAGAATGGTTTTCTCACCTAAAGGCACAAATCTAGAGGTTCGCCCGTGGAAAATTAGATCTTTTATTTTTGTGGGCCAGTCTAATAAACATGGCTTGGGTACGAAATGTAGGGAAAGAATTGCACAGAAATTATCCCAATAAAGAAAAGAGCAATTTAATACATTACAAACTTTGTCCAAATAACGTTGACGGTGATGAAGGATGGTGGTGGTACATCAACAGGTAGCACCGAAGTTTATGAAACAAAATACAGGTATCACGAGAGCAATCAATCAAGGGAACGTTTTGAGCAGGGAAGAACAACGCTAAAAGCTATTTTCTCAATAATATTTTCGGTGCCATTTCAACATGACGATTTCCTGATTTTGCTAAGGCTACATCACTCCCGTTTGGGCGAAGGTAAATTAAATTAATAATAATGATAACAGAGAACACAGCCACCTTTCGAAAATCGATACTCACTGACACTGGTGGGAGCTCTTTGTTCCAAATCAATAAAGTATGGTCGACAATATGAGGTAGTCGCAGCTTTTCGAAAATATTTGATTGATGATACAACAACAAATTGCATTCGGTGGTAATTCCATTATCACCCGTGTGCCTTATCCCGGCAATTGAGTTACAATGACAGTCATTATAATTGGATTTTCGTGAAAATAACCTTTGACAATTTAAACGCATGAAACATAAAACACTGAAACGTATAAAATAATCTAAATTGTCTATTTCGAAGCATTACTAACTTACAACAGGTATCATCAATTTGTGCGATAAGACTTCCACTTTGCACTTCCTCTACATGCAACGAGTGGGGGTATAACTGATGCGATATCATTCCGGTAACCGTGGCTATCGCTTAGGTTTCAACCTTGAGTGTCACTAAGTAGTGTGAATGTCAACAGCCAACCCCGCCAAGAAGGGTCAGGTGCAATTTAGCAGGGCAGTTTCTCAGTTATTTTTCTGATGCCACCCTCTGAAGAACAAAAGAAAGAAAAGAAAATGCTCTCCACATTGCAAAAAAGCGGGCAAATGACAAGATAGGACAAAATGCTGGAATTTATCGTAATCTAATATCAGATTGCAAATTTACTTGAGTATACAAGCTTTGCGCGCCCAACGGGAGATAAACCACGCTCGTCGTTCGGTTTGGGACGTAATGTAACCGGATTACATTTCACTCGTAAAACATTTTCTATTGAACGGTGGTCGATTCTTTGGAAGAAGCCTTTAGAAATCTATAAAATAAGGTGCTATATAATTTTCCCATTGCCATATTTTGCAACTAAACAAGCAGAAACTGAACTTTAATATTTAAACACCCACCGCACTGTTGTCACTCATCTCGCTCCGTGCAAACTCCAACATGTGGGCCATTTTAATCCATCAAATGCGACTGCACTGTCTAACAACTGACTCCCTTTCTCTTTCTCCCCGAAATTATTGCAGACTAAAGCGCAGCCCATCCAAGCTAACCCCAGCCGACGCTCTGTCGCTGCTGGCACTGCTAGAGTCCCGTGATCCGTATCCCGCGATGTCCGGCTACTTCCCGCTCGTGCCAGCGAACGGTCCAAACGACGTGCTGCCCTACTCGCCCAACTCGGTCTATCAGGACATTCCCCTTTCCCTGGCATTGGCTCAGCTCGGTGGCGGCGGCGGCGGTGGTGGTAGTCTGCATACTTCCAGAAATGTTGCACAGTTGGCACCCTACAGCGATGACGAGGGTGAATGGATGAACACGTGGACCGAGCCTGCCGTTGACTATCTGGGCTTCCCGATGGACGTTGACACACTTTCCCGGCTGGACCATCGCGACACGAAGCCCTCAAAGAATGGTAAGATGCTGATGGGCTTAGAATGGTAGATTTATGTTGAAGGGAGGTTTGAATTTGACGGACAAAATGGCTAGGGTAGAAGAGGCTGTTGTAGCTATGCTTATTCAAGTGATAGAACTATTTCACAAATGTTTTGGATGATACCCTGAACACGTCGTTAAGCAAAATAACCATACACATTTTATTAGGGAGCCCCATAATGAAACCAATGGTTTCAAATTTCTTCAAAACAACACTTGGAATCTGATTTCTCAAATCTAAAAGATGTCTCAGAAGTGATGAATTTCTCAAGTGAGTGTGACAATTGTCGGCAGCCTCTTTTTCAGCAACCTTTCCATTTGAACTGCGTGTTAACCAGCTGTTCTATTATCGGCAACTTGAAATCATCCGCATTTTGTAGAGCGGATATTTCATGATAAGAAAATTCTGACATAACAATATTGCTCAGTAGTGAACATTTAACCAGATTATAACTCATAGACTAAGGAATAACGTTTAAATTTCAGTTGCCGAAAACAGTCAATGGGTGCCCAGCCATCATATAACCTTATTCTTTTTTGAATTCTCATTAGAATTCTCTGGAAATCCTCCTTAAAATTCACATGCTATTCATTCTTCTCACGATACGCATAAAATCTCCTTTGAATCACCTAGGAATTCAATTCAAATCTTCTGTTGAGTTAGTTTCTTGTAACGTCCACAATCGAGAAAAACCAGGAATTAACCGGGAATTTGATTTTCACCTATAATAAATTTTTAACATGTAGTTAGGTATTTGAAATTTAAATATATACATGTACATGTAAAAAATATGGAATATTCAGCCCGTTATTTCTAATATTTCAATTAGAATCTTGAATAATTCATCAAGCTCGAAATTATTTACTCTCCTCAGTTCGGGACTTAAGAGTAAGATCTAAAAAATAGCAAGTTTCCGGTAGGACCCAAGTCTGGTCTTGTGGAAGGTCCGGAACATCCGTATAAGTGGTCAATTCATAAAACTGATCTTACAACTCCGTGGTTTTTCCGAAACCACTCATAAACGTTTTATCACAATTAATTCGGAGTTTTGACCAGACAATGGATGCTGGGGACCACGGGATGGTCCAATTATAGATCCGAAACATCCGTAAAAGTGGTCAATTCATGAAACTGATCTTATAGCTCCGTGCTCTGAAACTGATCTTAGAGCTCCGAAACCACTAATAGACGTTTTATCACAATTAATTGGAAGTTTTGACCAGACAATGAACGCTGGGCACGACGGGATGGTCCATTAAAGATCCGAAATATCCGTTAAAGTGGTCAATTCATGAAACTGATCCTAGAGCTCCGCGGATTTTTAGAAACCACTCCTTGACGTCTTATCAGAATGAATTCGGATTTATGTTCGTTAAAAAATTCCGTTAAAGCACCTAAAAATTATAAAATAATTAAATACTACCTAGAAAAATTTAGTACCTATATGAGCAGTTCTACAAAAAAAAAACACAGAGTGATGAGATCAGTTTTCTAAAACTATCCATTTTAACGGATGTTCCCGGGGTCCATTTTACAATCACAACTCCGAGTTCATTCTGATGAGACGTCTACGATCTTCCAGAGGAGTATTCATGATCTCCAGGGTCTATTTTCCAATCATAATTATAAGACGTCTTTGAATTGACCACTTGTACGGATGTTTCGGATCTTTCGGAGGACCATTCACTGCATAATGGTCCCAAAGCCGTATTTAGGAAGACAAAAATGTTTCCGCCCAAACCGTCAGTTTGAGGTATGTGGGTATATCAGGAAAGTTTCTTCATATGTTTTGGCCGATCTTTTTATGTTAGTGAAATAAGGGTGGTTCATAAAAGTGGTGAATTGAAAATACATTAATTTTTTTATTTTTGAGATAGACCAATGCAATGTTTTAAAAAGTGATAGAACAATCAATTCGAAGCAACTTTGCTCAAGACACCACATTTCTAACTCTTATGGTTCATGTGTTATGATTTTTATTTTTAAACAAGCAGGTTAGGTGGCTCCTAACAAAACAGATTTCTTTTCATACGTTCATTTCTCGTAAAAACTTTGTTCTAAATACTTTTAGAACTTTTTATGACGCATATTTTGGCTGGAGCAACTATATTGTTGTCTCCTTTATTTGATAAGGTTTCGGAAAAACCGCAGATGTTTAGGATCAGTTTCATGAATTTACTACTTTTACGGATGTTCCGGATTTTGCGGTGAACCATCGCGTGGTCTCCAGGGTTTATATTCCGGACACAACTTCGAATGCATTCTGATAAGACGTCAATGAGTGGTTTCGAAAAATACGCGGAGCTTTAGGATCAGTTTCATGCATTGACCACTTTTACGGATTTTCCGAATCTTCTAGTGGACCTAGTCCCCAGTGTCCATATTCCAGTCACAACCCCGAATCCATTCTGATAAGGTATTTATGAGTGGTTACAAAAAAAACGTGGCGCACGAGGATCAGTTTAATGAAGTGACCACTTTTACGGACGTTCCGAATCTTCTAGAGGACCATCCCGTAGTCCACAGCGTCCATATTCCGATCACAACCTCGGGTTCAGCTTGGTGAGCCGTTTATGAGTGGTTTCGAAAAAAACAAGGAGCTCTAGGATCAATTTCATGAATTGATCATTTTTACGGATGTTCCGGATCGACCGGTGAACCATCCCGTGGTTCCCAGAGTTTATATTCCTGTCACAATTCCGAATTAATTATGATAAGACGTCTATGAGTGGTTTAGAACAAACCACGGAGTTATAGGAACAGCTTCTTTAATTTGCCAGTTTTACGAAAGTTCCGGTACTAACGGTCGACCAGGGTTCATATTCCGATTACAACTCCGAATGTTTTTCTGATACAACGTTGATGCCAGGTTTAAAAAAAATCGCGGAACACCAGGATCAGTTTCACCACTTTTACGGATGTTCCGGATCTTTCGGTGGACCATCCTGTAGTCCCCAGAGTCCAAATTAAGGTCATAACTCCGAATTTATTGTGATAAGACGTCTATGAGTGGTTCTGAAAGAAGCACGGAGCTCTACGATCAGTTGCATTAATTCACCACTTTTACGGATATTCCGGATCTTCCGGTGAACCATCCCGTGGTCAACAGGGTTCATTTTCCGGTCACATTTCCGAATTCACTCTGATAAGATGTCTATGAGTGATTTATAAAAAAAAAAACCACGGAGCTCTAGGATCAGTTTCCCGCATAAATGCAAACTATTGCTTGACCTTACCAAAAATGTTTGAAGAAAATTTGAAATCCCTGCTTAACTTTAACTGAAACGGTTATGGAACTTTACATGAACTTTAAACAAAACAAAAGTGACCAATAGTGACATTTATTGATCGGAAAGATATGGTTCCAATCATCCGTTATTACGGTATTATTCATGCTTTATAAAAATAAAACAAATTATTTAAGGATGACATAAATTTGTTATAAAAAAATAAGTATGAATTGAATAAGCAAGAGAACGGTCAATGTCTAACCTCCATTTCCACACTCTGCAGATCACGAATTTGTTATTAGATCGCAAACCTGAGGCACAGAGAAAAATGTTCAAAGTACCGATTTTAGACTTTTTTTTTTACAATTTTTAAAGATCTTGGACAAAATATGAAGCGATGCATTTAGAAACATGAAGAACTGCAGTCTAAAATTAAATGTATATAGATCTAAGTCAGCCATGAGTATTAGACCTGCTCATTTTAACTTGTTGTTCATGTTAATTTGAACTTCTGTGCAAGTTTTCAGCAAAATCGGTGATGATTTAGAGGTGCTTCAAGTTAATTTTATGTTTTTTAGGTAATTTACGGCTTATAATATTTGTATTTCGTGACTGAAACGACGAAATCTGCTGTAACAACTTTCATAGCGAAGCTTAATGTGTTATCTACCAACTTTGTGACTAGAGGTTGACTATTCAAAGTGATTTTATTGAAGTTTGACTTAGTGTCATGCTCGAAGATATTTTAAAAAGTGGAGAATTTTAAAGTATTTGTTCTACGAACTTTCCACCCATATGATATAAAAATGTTTAGTCTACGGCATGATGTCCCTTATACTGTTTTAGAAATTTCGTTCAAACAAAGTTTTCGTGTAGATTCCATAGATTGAGAGATAAAAATCAGAAAAGAAGCCGTTTTAGCTAAAATTCACAAGACAACAGAGCCAAAGATTTTTCTCATTTCTGGTTATTGGACAAATTTCGAGAGCTTGAAAATTTTCCTACACCATTTTTTGTCATTATACATTGAACCAACCGGGAAAGGTAATTTTTACCAGAAAATTTAAGTAACCTCTTCAAAATAGGAATTCAATAAGGTTCACGTGCCGCACATAAAATCCAACTACATGGTAATGAATTCCACTGGATTCACTGGACCAGTCCACATAACATGCTGGTGAAGGTTAAGTAAAATTCAAGTAATTTTTTTTCGTAATTTCATGGTATGAACAATTTCTTGTCGTATTCGTAATTCAAAAATGGCGATAGAAGAAAGTGCGCTTTTGTCGTTGTTGGATGAGTTGGAATTACCAGGCTTCTTCATGTTTTCAAGTGTTATTTTTATAATTTTTATAAATTAACACTCATTTATAAATTGAAAATGAAATTGAAGAATACGGGAATGGATTGTTCGAGGTGCATACAATCAACAATTGACGAACTATAAGGGTGCTACTATACGGTTAAAGTACTTCAACTTCGAGATCATCAGTGTCAGTTGTTAAATAATGAAAATTAGTGAATTTTCCTAGAATGCAATCATTTAAAGTCTCAAATAAACCGAAATATATATCTATAGTATATCACCAATTCACTTTATCGTTACAACAAAATTCAGTAGCATTTCCCTAGCAAAGTCCAGCATCAAAATGACAGCAAATTGAAATCAAGTTTTGATATCAACATCAAACTGAAATCCTAGTTTGATTTCAGTTTATGCAATTGAAAAATTTTGTTTTCATTTTGCTGTACATTTGCTCTTCAAAAATATGTTGTTGCGGGTTTGTTTTCATTCCCAAGTAGCAATTCAGTAACCATTTAGCATCCACTCTGATTTATGATGGTTTTATAACGGCAATGAACAATCCACTTAGTTTAAATATAGCATTTTAAAGTGTAAAACATTCCTGCTTAGTAATTCAGCTTTTTGCTGTTTTAAAAACCTTTTATAGTCTGGCAAGAAAGTCAAAAACTGTCTTGTTTTAAAAATAAATTTAAAACAGTTATCAATCCCTCCTTAAAACTGTTCTATAATTCAAGCATAAACGTCATTAGCAATTGTTTATTAATGTCATTATAAAATACTTTATAAACGTGTTCTATCATTATAAAAGCAACCATAAAACTATTAGGTTTTGCATTAGAGAAAAAAGCATTTATTGTTGCTTTTTAGCCTTTTTAAAAAGCATCATTAACTCCCCAATTACTTTGTTTACAAATTGAGCTTAAAAGATGGTTCCTCATATTTACTAAATGCCAAATCTATGACAAGGAAATCTCGAAGGGTAGACGAAGTAGGATGAAAAAATCAAGTCAATTTCAGATAAATTTACTTCTTTAGAAGAACCAGCGCACCACCAACGACTGACCATCTGTCGGAGAAGAGTAAAGTGAGTGGGGCCCTCGAACTCATAAAACATTGTCTAAAGTTGAAAAACATACCAGCCTTCTCCAGATCTTGCGATGACAATCGAAATAACAACCGACAGCAAACCACTGAAACTGTTAGTTAGCGGAGATCAGCTGGTTTCCGATCCAAAGCAGCGATTTTATTCGGCGAAAGACTCTTCGAAAATTTTATTCAACCGTACATCTCTGCATCATTGGATCGCGCACTTCTGTAACCATCCGGAAGAAGGGGATCTTTTTCGGGAACGATTGCGCTTCCAGCTGTTCGAAATGCGAAACGTTGTAAAACAGTATCGCAAACCAGGGTGCCTTCCATTCGTTTTGCCTAAAAAAATGTTTTATTAAATTATAGAATAGTAAGATATTATAATGATATTTTATATGTGTAAGTAACAAGAAAAGATTGTAATGTTTGTGTTTGACGCATAAAACCTGCAAATTTAGCTTTGGCAGAGTCACAATGAGCGATTTTCTAATCGCCGCTTCGCGAAGAGTGAAGAGCGAAGAGTGGGTGAGATAAATGACAAAATCGCTTATTGCGACACTCGTGTAGCAAAATTGGCAGGTATTATGTGTCAAACACAATCTTCACAGTCTTTTCTTGTTGCTTACACAAACAAAATACTACTATAATATCTTATTATTCCATAATTTAATAAAACATTTTTTTATCCAAAATGAATGGAAGGCACCCTGTCGCAAACTATCTGAGTAACTGCTCACAATCCATCGGGAGAAAACCTGGGGGGGGATGTGCTGTCAAATCAGCCTACTGATCATCTTGTATGAAACTGGTTCCAAACGTAAACAAACGCTGTAGGTTTCTTATGGCTTGTTTACGTTTGGAACCAGTTATGCGAGGTAGGCGACGATTGTTCGTATTTGACAGCCACCTCCCCCCCTTGGAGAAAACCGCCTGGAAGAATCCTGGATCTCACAGCGCAACTATCGAAAGATAAACAAACTTTGACGTTTAACTTTCTGCAGGCAACTTTGCCTCCATAAATGCTGCCATTAATCTGAATGGTTTAGGATCAACGAAACAAAGCAAACGAAAAAGAGATACAATCAGGATTAGTTTATTAAAGTAATAGTTTCATCTGAATACCCAAGTAACACATAAAACATCTTTTTGAAAAATAATTAGAACGGCTTGTTATAGAAATGTATTATAAGTGATGCAGAAAACATCCCCCCTTATATATGAGGTTTATAGATGTTTTCTTCATACTTCCTAGATTCAACATTTTCCAAAATAGTTTTATTTTGCTTTTATCTTTAAATGTTATTTAAACGTGCATCTTACTGTTTTAATACCACTAAAAAACTTGTTGTATACAAAATCAATCCTAGTTGCATTTATAAAGTTCTTTAAGAAATTCTGAACTTTCCAGATTGACGTAAACATTGACAGCGCCATTGAGCCGGACTGTCTCATCACGCAATGATTGACAGTTTCATATGAGGTATTCGGAGGTTTGTTATAAAGAAAGTTGAAAACACTCATCTCATAAAATAATAGAACTGAAAATGTGCAGGTTGTCTTATAAGTTGTTGAAAATACTTTTAAATAACACTCTGGCAATTAGATGTAAGCTTTGCTGCTAACAAAACATCTTTGTGACGGATCGAAAGCGTGTTGAACGAGAATATAATTTTCATGCCATTGGCAAGAACAGTGATCGAATCCCATGCTCAAGTTTTTTTATTGTTTTTTTTGCCGCTGGTTTTTATGATGTTTCCAGAACATGTTATAAGACCAGATTTAATTGTATGAGCTCCGCGTCTTGCGCTTTTTTGGTTATACAAATGTATTAAATGACGTATATTACAGTATTATTGATTCTTTACGTAAGTCATTAAAAAGTATTTTCAATTTTTTATGACAAGCCGTGTTGCTTGGGTAACTATATCTCAATGACATTGTTTCACTCTGAACCTACATTTAAAGTTATTTTGTGATTATATGGTTACTTTGGTACTCACATGAAATGTTGTGCAAGTACCACAATTTCAACAACACCCAACTATGGACAGCTCAATGTTAATACCATTTACTCTTTGAATCAGCGTACACCAATCTGCTAAGAAACACCTAATGATGTATATTTTTTTTAACTTTATTTAAGAGATTTTTAGCCTTAGGCTAGTTCATCTCTTCCTAATGATGTATAGAGATAAAGCACAAAAATATAGTTTTAACTGATGGTACTTTATAAACATCAAACTGTCCAATATTGGACCCTGCCAACGCCAACACACGGCGCCTGCACGGTAATGTGGGCCGTCAGAATGGTTCATCGGTTGCGAAGTGAAGTGGTTCTCAAACTGTATATCGCTTCAGTTTGAGAACCACTTCTCAATTTTTCAACGTTTTCCTAACGGAAACTTAATATTATCACCCATATGCGTGTCCACACCCGAAACCCATCCACCACACAAAATCAAATAAAAATGTTTCTGGTTCTGCAAACTTAGAAATTTTCGCCGACTTCGGTATTTTTTACCGAAATCTGAACAGCTGAACTGTTCGGTAAAATTTATACAATTTAATTCAACTGCTTTTCAGTACACTAAAATGACAAGATTTGATCGTTTAAACAAGGTTGAACATGTTTTGAAATTATTTTTTTAATTCAATGGACTTTAAAATGAAGGTCAAAGTTTTACCGAACGTTCAGCTGTTCTGATTTCGGTAAAATTTACCGAACACTAAAACAAAATCTTAGTGTGTGTATGGCAAACACGTCTAGACATAAACGAGAATATGGGTAACTTCACTGTAACAACTACGGGTAATCATCGAAAGTACTTGCATTTTACACAGGCACTTTTGAGCAAACTGCAATCACTCTCTCATACTCGAAATGTGCCACGACCAAATTGGCACAACGACGCCCTGTACGCTATCTGACCAAAGCGCAGGGTGAAAGTAAGCTTTTAGTCTAAAACGCTATCCAGACTGGAGTATTATAACATGAAACCACCATCAAGATAGCGCTATAACATGTTATAATTCTGTAGTCTGAACGTACTATAAGATTAATCTAGATCCCTGACTCTATCACACTTTTCTACGTTCTGGTTTCCTAAAGTTATTGTTATACAGGTATACCTTGATATAACGTAACTGTCACTTTTGAATTCCATCGTCAATATCTCGCCAATAACACTTGAATCATACAAATTAATATTACCAATAAATGGGGGATTATCTCATCTTCCGATAGTGTTATAACTTTGCTTGAATGATCGTTTACGAAAAATCAGCGATGGAAGTCAAGAGTAACAGTTACGTCATATCGAGGTATACCTGTATCGGGTATGTTTCGTTTTGCGATGGATCTTTCCATTCAAAGAAAAAGTTTTCCCTTGATTAAACATCAACACAGCAAAGCAAACAGTCTTCGAATTTACTTTGCTCGCAACCACAGCAACGCTCAATACGAGCACATAGTGTAGACTGTGACATATAGTTTTAAAGCTGTTAAACACAATATTTTTCTTCAATTTCAGGATTCCCCCATCAGAAGCGATTTATGATTGCAAAGAAGAAACGCAGCGTGAGCTTCAACGACAATGATGACTGCAACAAGAACGAAAACAAGAAAAGCTGTCTGCTGCGAAAGTACGGTCAACTGGCAGCCGCCAAAGTCGCCACAGCCTAGACGGTAATCGAACCTACTGGCAACTCTCACCCGGACACAGACACTATGTACATATATACGGGAAATTGAAAAAGGAAACATATCCGGACTGAATCGTGATTAGGACGTATATGCTTTTGTAAACAAACAGATCAATCGCAGATTTCTTGCGGATAAAAGCTCAATCTCATTCATCTACCTGTTTGACCTGTTAGTTTCCGAGATTGAGCTTTATTCGCAAGAAATCGCCGATTGACGTGTTTGCTTACAACAGCATGTACGCCCTAATCATGATGCAGTTCGGATATATGAAAAAAAATGCAGCCTTTATAATGCGAGACGAAGGGAAAACGGCTCTGCAGAAAACCGGAGTCGGACCACCCTTCCGAACGCTGCCCTACGCTGCGATACAGGACGGGATTAACGGTAACCAGCATCGCATCAACGGAAACTGAATTATGAATTTATCAATATCATTATTATTGTGAAGATACGGATAGCAAAATTGTTTCCTCGTATGTTCGTTGAACAAATATACTCATAAACATACATTGGGAATGGAATAACATTACATTGTCGAAATAAAAATTGTAATCAACATTATATGACACACATATTTAATCTCTTTCCAATAAGAAACATTTTCCCGTTTCAATGTTGTTCAAAATTAAACAAAATATCGTAAACAAGTATTATATGGCTACCATTGCAAATGAAAACAAATATCAGACATTTTATGACGTACGTTGAAGATTATGTACAATGTATAATCAGAGTTGTATCAGACATATATTATTCAATTTAGCTATTACATATAAACACATCACAAAATGACAAAATGCGATAAGATTACGGTTCAGAGGTAAAAATTTTAATTACTAGATAAAGAAAACTACATCCTACATATTCCATACAAAAGCATAGTAAATATCTATCGTATAATGATGCTGATCGTTCAAAATCCACAATAAAACATTAATAACCAAACGATGTCATGATGAACATCAGAGGCACAAAGCAAAGCAAAAACTGAATCGTGATTATTTCTACATTCGAATCGAGCAGTTTTAGATCTCCTAAGTTACCATACCGTATTATGCCACGTAATCGCTGTTTCAGGAATCAGCAAGAAACAGACCGATGCACTTGATCACGAATTTCAAATAAAAGCGCCCTTGGTTGGAAAACAAAAAAACTTCGCTTGTGTTCAATTTTCATTGCTCTGCGTTGGGGACATTCGAAGATGAAAACCTGTCTCAATGTATGAGGTAATGGTCATGTTCTATGTTCAAATTATATTGATTCTGTCAAGCAACGACTCACAAGATTTTAAATGCAGCGTTAAGGGTAAGTAGCTGTCCTTACAAAGCTTTAGGAAATGCTGAGCTTGAATTCTCCCATCATTTATGGGAGAATTCAAGCTCAGCATTTCCTAAAGCTTTGAGTCAATCGATATCCCAGGTAAGTAATCTGAAGCTTGGCATAGAACTAACAAAGCTTCTGCTTGGCTATATGCACCTCAACTGGAACTTATCTTCTTCCCTAAAGTATAATGGTTTGCTCCCGTACCTGCAGTAGCGTATAGCTACAGTGCAGAAAGTGGTTCCCGCACTTTCAACTCCTCTAAAGAAAAGGGAAAGTCAGAGTATCTACTGCTAGGGAACATAACTAATATTAGCTATGAACAAACAAACAAACAAATGTTTGCGTCGAGACATTATTGAACAGCAAACAACCACCTGTGGTGCAACGGGCGACACGTGCGCACATGGGCCTTCCCCTTGCACGATGTATCCCGGACAACGCACCGGGCCAAAACATGACCGTCTGTTTAATTCAAGAGTTAATAGAGTTACAAAATGAAGTTCAAAATTTACTCTACAAAAGAATCGAAATCCAAGGAAGCAGTTTCCGCCTTGGGTTGGTGCAACAACGAAGAAATCTACAGCTGCAGCGAAGACCATCAGCTGTACCGGTGGACATCCTCAAACAGGGAATTTATGCAAGTGGCAAAGCTGCCGGATGATTTCAATCCAACCGACTTGCACTGGTTGCTACCGAAAGGGGCCGCTGTTACCAGTTCCGGTGGAGCCGGTGCTAAGGGAAGTGATACCTTACTGATTTCCAGTGCCGATGGACGGTTCATTATTTTGAACAAAAGTGCCCGCGTCGAGAGAAACGTAGCAGCCCACAATGCAACCATTGTTTCCGGACGGTGGAGTCCCGATGGTGCTGGATTGCTGACGGCCGGTGAGGATGGTATTATCAAAATTTGGTCACGCTCGGGAATGCTCCGATCGACAGTGGTACAGCACGAGGGACAGATTCGCTGTGCCAGGTGGGCACCTAATGCCACGGCCATTGCCTACTGTCAGGGACCGTTTGTGGCCATCAAACCGTTGGCGGCCAACAGCAAACTCACCAAATGGAGAGCTCACGATGGTTTGGTGCTGTGCATTGCTTGGTCGAACAACACGGACATGGTGGCATCGGGCGGCGAAGATTGCCGGTACAAAATTTGGGACACTCAAGGCGCCAATATCTATACCAGCGTGAGTGATGATTATGCGATTACCTCACTGGATTTCAGTCCCGATGGCGAGTTGCTTGCTGTGGGTGGATTCAATATGCTCAAACTGTGCCATTATTCAGGGGTAAGTAGAAACAAGGCTTGCATGTGCAGTAGGACATTTTCTTGTTATTGTAAAGTAATAAAGATCACGATTCTCTGGTGACATATTTTCAAAGCATTGACCTTTGGGTCATTCCGCGCCAAGTGACCGAGAAAAATTGCAAAATTAACCTCTTCCGATTTTGACCAAATTTGGAGGGAAAGTTTATTTAGTCCAAATTTTGGCAGCTGATTGTTATTACCCAACATGCCACTTTAAACATTTGGTTCCTTGGTATTGTACACGACTAACTTTTTAAAAAGGTTCATGCAAAAATGATATCCATTAATTCAAAAAAACCTATTTCGAGAACGATTTGTTTGATTGAAACGGTGTCTTTGGCGAAAGTGTGGAGCAGTATTGTGCCTTTCTAGAAAAAAATACGCACATTAAAAAAATTGTGTATCTTTGCAATAAACAATTGAAAATTAAATAAAAACTTATAATGTCTCAAAGTGCATTTTCTTTTAAAAAAATATCCAAAATTGAAGCTCAGACAACGTGTGACAATGTGTTTAAGTTGGACAATTAATAAACAACAAAAAATATTTTTTTGAAAAAAGTAGTATTTTTTAAATACTGCTCACAGTTAAAAATTATCGTTGAAATAGTGTAAACATTAAACTACGTTAAATCTACAAAAAACTATCATAATGCTAAAATTGCTAAGTTATTTTATTTTCAAAATATTCATAGCATAAAATTTACTAATCCTGTAATTTGGGCAACGTTCGCCCTTTTAGAATACTATTGGTGAGCGTCCAATTTTGAGAATATCAATTAATTTCCTTGAACCTTCCAGTTTACAGTTTTTCAATCAGACGTATGAGTAACGAGATAATAAATTATAAATAAGGCTTCATTGAGGGCATTCAATATTCTTATATTTAAACACGTTTTCATGAAGCCCTTGCTGGTGGTCTAGTAGTTGCACTACCAGTAAAAAAGTACTTCAAAGAATTCAGAACAAAATTCTGAATATGATTTCGAAGTTGCCACTCTGGTACAGTACTAACAACCGGTGGAAACTAACGATTTTAAATTGGCTCACACTGGACTAGCCTATCGGTCCCAAGTACATCGATGAATGTACCCCAATTTTAGTGTTTGTTTTGATTCGTTATGAAAGTTTGACAGATAAAATGAGGGGTTCGTGGATTCTCCTATGTTTCGAGGGGTGTATCGATTAGTTTGGGAGCGAAGAGAGTACCAGAGCTGAGCCAAGAAATTGAGCACATTTCTTCGAGACCATCTGGTCTTAAAGCTACCTCTATGGTACTACCAACAATCAATACGAAACTAACGTTTTTAAATTGTCTCACTACTTGACTATTGGTCCCAAGCGAATCGACTAACGTACCCAATTCTAGTGTAAATCTCTGTACTACACTATGTTTAACGGCGCCGGTGGTGTAGTGGTAAGCGCGATTACCTCTCACCCCAGCAGGCCTGGGTTCAATCCCAGTCGGCACCGCCGGGATGTTCTGAGGCATAACATCTCGCCTTCCTTCGGATGGGAAGTAAAGCCGTTGGTCCCCGGTTCATGAGTTGATGGGTCGATAGGTAGGGTCCAGGTGTGGGAGCTGCCTTCCTGGCACGTCGGTAGCATTGGTGCTCAGCACGGAAAACAAGATCGACGGAAAAAACAAACCAAAGGGGAAAAAAATACACTATGTTTGTTTTTATTCGCTATGAAAGTTTGACAGGTAAAATGAGGGGTTCGTGGATTTTCCTATGTTTCGAGGAGTGCATCGATCAGCTTGGAACCGAAGATAGTACCAGATTTGAGCCAAAAAGTTGTGCACGTTTCTTCGGGACCTTCTTGTCTTAGAGTTACCTCTATGGTACTACCATCTCTCAACTTCTCGTCGGAAATTTATGAAGTCCACATCGGAAAATCTCTGAATTTTTCATCGGAATGTTTGCTGAATTTTTTCTCGGAAGCTTTGAACTTCTCGCTGGAAGTTCTCTGAACCACTTCATGACAGTTCTCTGAACTTCTCCTCAGAAGTCCTCTGGACTTCTTGTCGGAAGTTCTCTGAACGTACTATGAACATCTTGTCAGAAGTACTAAGAGCTTTTTGTCGGAAACTCTCTGAATTTCTCGTCTGAAGTTCTCAGAACTTGCCGTCAAAAAATCTTGGAGTTTCTCATCGGAAGTTCTCTGGACTTCTCGTCGGAAGATCTCTGATAAGTCAGGCGTTCTCAGAACCTCCTGGCGGCAGTTCTTTGAACTTCTCAACGGTTCTATGAACTTTGCGTTGGAACTTCAGGGAATTTCAATGAAGTTCTTTGAACTTCAGGGAATTTATGTTAAATTTTCGTCAAAAGTTCTGTTTACTTCTTATCGGAAGTTCTGTGAACCTCCTGTCGGAACTTCAGGGAATTTAAATGAATTTCTGTGAACTTCTAGGAACTTCTCTTCAGAAGATCTCGGAACATGTCGTACGAAGTACTCTGAATCTCCCGTCGAAAGTTCTTCAAACTATTCTATGGAACTTCCAAGAAGTTCTTTGAACTTCTTGTCGGAAGTTCTCTGAACTTCTCGATGGAAGTTTACTGTACTTTCTAACTTCAGAGAACTTTAATGGTGATCTATGAGTTTTAGGGAAATTTAATGACGTTCTGTGAAGTATTTGCCGGAAGTTCTGGGAACTTTTTGTCTGAAGTTCTTCAAACATTCGTCGGAAGTTTTGTGAACTTTTCTGAACACCTCGTCGGAAAGTCATTAAACTTGTCGTCGCAAGATCTTTAAACTTATCGACGGCTGAAATTCTCGACGAAACTTCAGGGAACTTTAATGAAGTTCTGTAGACTTCAGGGAAATCATGTGAAACTTCAGGGAACTTTTTATTGGAAGTTCTCTGAACCTTTTGTCAGAAGTTCGCTAAACTTTTCGTAGGAAATTAAAGGAAGTTCTCTGAGCTTCTCGTTGGAAGATCTCTGAACTTCTCATCAGAAGTACTCTGCACTGCTCATTGGAAGATCTCTGAACGTCTCTTCGGTAGTTCTCTGAACCTCTAGCTGGAAGTTCTCAAAACTTTTCTGCGAAACTTGAAGGAATTTATGTGAATTTCTTGTCGGAAGTTCTCTGAACTTCTCGTCGGAAGATCTCTGAACTTTTCGTCGGATTGTTAGTGATTGACTTATGGATGAGGACTTGTAAGTGACTTAAGAGTGTGGTGGTTGGCACATCTTTGAAGAGAACGCAAGAAAGGTGCCAGACCTGAAAAATGCAAGCCTGTTCGATTAATAAGACGGAGATGCTCTACCGTATGCGTGATAATGTTTGCACCATTGAGCAATGTAAAAATTAAAAAAAATTCTCAAAAATTTCGTTTCGGGTTTTTTTTTATTTATTCAAAGGGGGATGTTTCACTGAGTCTTAAACTATGTTAAACATCGATCGAGTTTCCATTTGCTGCAATTACGGCCTCCACACGCTTCCGGAATGCACAACAGGTTCTAATAATGTAGTCTGGATCCATTACTCTCCAGATACGGGTCAATGTTTGTCTGAGGCTTGCTGTACTCAGGTGGCGTTAGAACAGGCCTTGGCCTTCAAGACGCGCTATATTAAGTAATTCAGCGGATTAAGATCGGGGCTGGATGGCGGCCATATTTTCTTCACCCAGAATGGAAGATGTTCCTGCAACCACTTCTGAGTGCGGTTCGAGGTATGGCACGGAGCCCCATCTTGTTGAAATACAACATTTGGCTTCGGACCGTACTGTTCTTTGATCCACGGAAGAACATACTTACTTAAAATCCCGATGTAGACCTCCGTGTTGACCTTGTCGCCTTCTTGAATGAACACCGGGTCCATTTTTTTGCCATTGAAAGCCACCAATCCAAACACCATAACACTAGCAGGATGTGCGTTCTTGTGCTCGTCGGCCATTTGTTTTACCGGAAGAGAACTAAGATACCGGTCGGTTCTGGAATTTGATACGGGATCGACGGTAAACATGGTCTCGTCGGATTACCGGATTTTTTCGCTGAAGGAAGTTTAAGATCTTCTTGCATCGTTCGACTCGTAGCTCCCGGATTCGGTTGGTAATCATGTGTTTTTTTTTTCGTACCCTCGACTTCGCCCCGCAATCTTCCTTTACGATCTTCTGTGCCGTAAAGTCACTAATCCCGAGTTCCTTTGCAATTTTTTTTATTGAACACACTGGATTCACCCGAATCTTACCTTTGATAGCAGCGATAACCCTCGGAACCCGAGCTGACCTCGGACGACCTGTGGCCACCTTCGCGGATAGTTGTCCTTTCTTTTCTCGGTTTAAAACCCTTTTGACGGTCCACCAGGGCACTCCCACGGCTATTGAAATGTCTTTTTGCGACATTTGCGCGTGGGACAAATCCCGAATACGCTAGCACTTCGTCATGGTGCAACTGTCAAACTAAGTAAATCATTTTCTTTTATACAGAGCCTACTACGGTATGAGCTATAGGTTACGTGCATGCAAAGAAACCCAAGGCATTGTATGCACAGTGAAACGGGACCTTATTTGAACGATGGTGCAAACATTATCACGAATACGGTATAAATGACGGTGAATGTCCGGACTCTGATGGTCCGTAAGAGCTTGAAGATCCTGGCATAAATGCTCCATCTAGGTCATTTATAGGTGGCGCCTCTAATGCGTACTCTTCAACGAGACCCAGCGATGTGCCGACCAGTCCAAACTACAAATGAGTCCTGAACACCAAACACAACCGATATCTTCACAGAGCATTGTACACTATCTAGCGTAGCCTTGATCAGTCTGGTTAGTTTTCCGGAAAAACCGGTCTCGTGCATAATCTGCCATAGTTCTTCTTGGGCAATAGTATGGCTAAGAGGCTTTGAAATCGATGAATAGGCGACACTTTTGGACACCCTCTGCCACAACGTAAAGGTTGGTCTGTTGTCGATCACCCTAAAGCCCTCTAGTAAAAGTATGGAGGTCTGTCATAATTTCCTCCAATGAAACTAAAATCCTCTGCTCGATTGGAACAGATTGTTCCAGTTCTATGGTTTCAGTCGACCATAATTTTACTGGAGGGTTTTAGATCGCCCGTCTACAAAACTATAAACTGGCTTAATCAATTCCCAAAAATCTGCTTGCTACTCTCCAAGAACCCAACTGGTACCTTCTGCTGCGCTGTTGATGGCTGCTTTGATACTTTACTCCAACAGTTTTCAAGAGGAGCTTTAATCATCTCTCCTTTATCCGACAACACTGCCTCAAGGTTTTACCATAGAGGAAAATCTAAGATGCTAGTCAAAATTTCTAGTACTACACTACGTTTGTTTTGATTCGCTATGAAAGTTTGACAGATAAAATGAGGGGCTCGTGGATTTTCCTATGTTTCGAGGGGTGCATCGATTATCTTGGGACCGAAGATAGTACCAGAGCTGAGCCACAAATAGTTAAGCATGTTTCATCGGAACCTTCTGGTCTTAGAGTTACCTCTATGCTGGTATTCTCTTCGGTCCCAAGCTAATTGATGCACCCCTCGAAACATAGGAAAATCCCATAGTATAGTACTAAAATTTTGACTAGAATGGGGTACTTTAATCGATTTGCTTGGGACCAATAGACTAGTCAAGTAGTGAGCCAATTTTAAATCGTTAGTTTCCACCGGTTGGTTTTACGCGTAAAAAGTTGCGGGTTTGAGCCGACTTGAATCGAAGGATTTGAATTACAACTCTGTATGCGCTTTGTTCGATTTTGAAGGCTATTTTAAACGCTGGCCAGACTGGATAGTTATAACATTTTATAACATGTCAAATAATTGCAACACATAATCCACCATCAAGATAGTGCTAGTTGTTGTTTAGTTTACAAAGAGCCAGCTTTTGGCGTTTTTTTTATTAGTTCGTATTCCTAAAAAAAAACATATAAGTATTTTCTAAAATGTTTAAAGCTAGTGGTGTATAAAAATGCAATTTACTTAAATTAAGACAGAAATTAACTGACAAATTTATTCAGAGTAATTAATGCAAAAATCTTGCTCCTTTTTGCGCTGATTTGAATAATTGACATTTGTACAAAAATGTGTGATACATTTCAAAACATGTGAGATTTGGATCAGATCTATAATTTTTACAAGGCTTTTAATTTTGACCTAGGGGAAATGCAGGTAATGTCGGCCTAAGTGTCCCTAATTTGGGCCCATACATAAATTCAGCAATCGACTAAATTTTCAATAGCAACCAAAAATATCCATTAGTAACGTCCCAATAACGCGTTCATCTAGATAAAATTGATAAATAGCAGATTTTTAGCGATGGACAGAATCTTAGATCCATAGGCCAACATTAGAGACATTTGCCCTATATACCGTAAACAATTACGAGTAAGTTTTCTTACTGGGCCGATGCCTTGCTTTTTATGAGTCACAGGTCATTGATGTCTTGGACAACATTACTAAGAACTATAAAATGCATAACTTTGCCGAGTAAATCATCCTTCTATGACTCTTTATTTAAAATATAGAATCAAGCACCACCTGCGCGGCATGAATACGAACTAATCAGAAATCACCAAAAGTTGACCCTTCACAAACTAAGCAACTTTGTCGAAGACAGCAAATCTGCAAAATACATATCCACAGCGCAAGAGGTTTTGGCCACGCTACCGGGATCACTGCTTCACAGTGAGCGCGAACCACACTTCCTGATCCCTCATCCATTTTATCCTCAAATCCGCATTCTTATGCACATCAACGAAAAAAATCAGATTTTTCTTGTATTCCAGACATTCTTTTTCAATCTTTATGCATCCTTGTCTGTTCGGTAATTATCCACAGCACATACGAATTTTAAAAATTGTGTATGAACAATTGTCTATGCACAGGGAGGGGGGCAAGAATTCCAAACAACTGTCTACGTAGTTAATGAACAACCCCTTAAGACAATTTTTCGGGTTATTGAAATTGCAGTTTGAATTCCCTGTTTGACATGTTTAAACCGTTTTGGAGTTTTAATTTGTCATTTTGAACTTGCAATATCTGCCTGCAATATTCACGAGCTTACGAATATTTGAGAACCACTGGCATTAGCTAAAAGTTTCCTGTGAACATTAGGACAGATGTCAGCAATGTGCTTTGCTCATGTCGGTTTATCAGTGGGATGCATCATGTTTCAGAACATGCTTTGGCCAAAATTGAGCGTTCAAGGAATTCATTTCCCCCGCTGACGAGTGGGTGACAATAGGCAATTTGTGTGACGTGACTCTCCGTGCAAATAAAATGGAGAGTTACGTCACGCGACAATTCTCATTTCATTAGTGACAGAGGTCACCTCTCCTCACTCGCCACGCAAAATAAGACTGCATGTATTTACAATGCTATAAAACACAAATTGCGCCTGTTTCACAAATCAAAAATTTCATCCGCAGTGGAGCCACAGCATCAACCGATTCAACCAGGAAACGGTTGGCTCAATGTTTAACATCGTTTGGTCTTCGGATGGGACGCAGATAACGGCTGGAACCAGCACAGGAATTATATTATTCGGACATATTATCGAACGAGAACTTCGCAACCGCAATCTGAAGGCAACAACAACCGGTCGGAAGACGATCACCCTCCACGACATAGTGGCAAGGACGAAAGATACTCTTGACTTTTCCGAACGGGTCATCAAATGGGAACTGGGCTATGGACATCTGGTGGTCGCCACAGCTCATCAAGTACATATCTTCAATGAAAATTATATCAACACTCCGATCATAATCGACGGACGAACAGAGATCAAAATCATTGTTCTAGGCAAGAAGTGAGTTTCTCAAATTTCGTTCCTCCAAATTTATTTCAAGTACCTATATCATTTATTGCAGAAACTTTCTTCTGGTGGACAACACATCGATATGGATCTACACCTACACCGGCCGGCTACATTTGAACCCTCGATTCCCAGCATCGCAATCGCAAATTCCGCATCTCAACAATCGCTGTATTTCTCTGGGCTTGGATACGTTAGCCATACGTGATTACTCGGATCAATCGATTATACACGTGTTCGATCTTTTGCCAAGCGCAAGCCGACAGGAAGAACCCTACACGATTCAAAACAAGTCACCAATGGTGGAAGTCGCCGTTTGTCGTTTCGGCAATCCCGACGATCAGTATCTCGTATTCATTGACGTAAATCGAGATCTTTTTATTACATGCGTTCGGAGTGGGCCGGATTACGCAATCCATAAGATTGGAACACAAGTTTGCACAGTTATGTGGTCCAGCGATACAAACATCCTCGTAGGCTTACACGATTCATGCTACAGTGTATGGTACTGTCCAGGGGAGGCATGTACCGATCCGACGCTAATCGCGCTTACAACGTTCACTTTTGACACGAGTGAGTTCGGTAAGAACATAACTTTGGAGAACTTTGAAGGGGCGAATGTAACGTTTCGTAGTTCCGGAGCCATCTTCACCGTTTCTGTGAAAATGTATTGTGTAATTTTGCATAAACTATTCGCTGATAACTCTTGGGAGCGAGCATTGAAACTATGCCGATTGGTTCAGAATCAAATATTATGGGCTACTCTGGCTGCGATGGCATCCAAGAGGAACCAACTGGAGATCAGCGAGGAAGCATTCTCCGCTGCATTGCAAATCGATAAGGTGAACTATTTGGCCTATATGAACGATTTGGCCCATTCCAGTCCGGAACAGATGGCTGAAAATTCCATAATGAACGGGAGGATCCAGGAAGCGGAAATTATATTGCTTCACAATAAGAAGATACCTGAAGCCATTCGGTTCTGTTTGAGAATGCATCGCTGGAGCCGCGCCCTGGAGATTGCTCAGAAAAACGACGCATTTATGGAAGTGGTGATGAAAGAGCGCCAAAAGTACCTGCAAGCGCTCGGACGGGAAGAGTACGACCCAACCTATTTAAAGTTGCAGTAAACCGGTCATGTGTTTGAAATTTAAACCTAAGAAAATAAAGAAAATAAATGTTGGAATCAACCAATAAACAATCAAATCAATAAAACAAGCATTTGTGTAGAATTGTTTTTTTTTCTGCAGCGTTCACAAGGTAAAAGAATACAGATCTAAAAAGGAGTATTGGGGTATTTTCCCTATATTTAACGCGGCCGTTGATCTAAACAAACGACGCACCACACTTTTCGGTCACAATTTACTCAAACTTTATGTGGAATAACACAAGACACGGTCGTTTATTTTAGAAGCAAAGGTTGCGTGAAACTTTGTGCAAAGAAACATTTGGGAAAATCCGAAAGGCCCTACGCTGTATCAAATCCACTGAAAGTAGCATGTAGCATTAAGTATGTCACGTTTTGTCTGTGCCTTATGCATATAGCTTGTCCCACGTGACAAGTCCCCCACCTCTCCAACGTGTAAACGGTGATGTCGTCAATCAATCGTAGACCAATTACAATGAATGCTTATTAACTATGTCTTAAATATTATTGCCTGGCTAACCTTGAAAAGAATGCTTTTTTAGTGTTATTTTATTCATTGTTACATCAATTGATTGGGAATATGCGTTATAGCAGGTCATAATTCTATTCAAAGGCCCATTTTTAGCATAGTTTGTTCTTTGATTGTTAATGTAAAACAAATTACTAATCCTCAGAGAGCGAGTGGGAGCATAAAAATTTATATTTTCTAAAATTTCCGGAACATTAACTCTTTGAGCAATAACATCGTTTATAAATGTTACCATGGCAAAGTCTCTTCGTTTTTTCAGTCCATCTAAACTTATTAACAAACATCGCGATTCATAAGATGGAAGTGGTAATCTCGTCCAACCTAATTTTCGAAGGGCAAACAACAAAAACTGTTTTTGAACAGACTCAATGCGGTTTATATATGTATCCTGATACGGAGCCCACACTACGCTACAGTATTCAAGAAGAGGTCTCACATAGGCCACATACAATGTTTTAATAGTGTAAGGATCATTGAAGTGCAGACTAAATCTTTTGATAAACCCTAGCATGTTACTTGCTTTATATATAATGTTATTGTAGTGATCAACAAATGACAACTTAGAGTCGAGAATAATGCCTAAGTCCCTTACTTGATTACACCTTTCAACTGTTTTCTCACCAAGGGAAATTGTGTCATTTACTATGGCATGCTTTCTTGTAAACGATATAGAATTACATTTACTAACGTTAATCTCTAATAAATTCTTCTTACACCAAGTGTAAAAAATGTCAACTTCTTGTTGAAATAGCTGCATATCAGATGCTTTAGATATTTCCATGAAAAGTTTCATGTCGTCTGCATATATTGAAACATGAAGCAGCTTCAAAATGTATTCTATATCATTGACAAATAAGATGAATAGTAGTGGACCAAGATGCGAACCTTGTGGCACACCAGATGTTACATGAACGACAGACGACAATTTTCCTTCAAATCTTACTCTTTGCATTCTCCTTGACAAGTATGACTCGATCCATTGCAGTAGCCTAGTATTAAAACCTAACTTGGACAACTTGAAAATCAACAGTGGTATATCCACTATATCGAATGCTTTACTGAAATCAGTATATAATGTTTCTACGTAATTTCCCTTATCCATTACATTTAAAGCATATGTTACAAAATGTATCAAATTAGTGGCTGTAGATCGACCTTTAACAAATCCATGTTGTTTACTAGTAATGAGAGATTTAACTTGGGAAAATATGTTGGCATTAATGATGGACTCGAAAAGTTTAGGAATAGTAGATAATATAGCAATCCCGCGATAGTTTGTGATATCCGATTTTTTCCCGTTTTTAAAAATAGGGATTAAAAAAGATTCCTTCCAAATTGGAGGCAGCATACTGGCGTTTAACGATGAATTAAACAACCAAAATAAAGGCTTTACTAATTCATTTGAAAGTGTTTTTAGAAGAATAGGTGGTAAACCATCTGGACCAGCGCCTTTTGACGTATCCAAGGACTCAAGAGCATGCAAGATTTCTTTGAGGGATAAATTGTTAACTGTAATATCCGTCATTGGCTCCGGAAGGTATGAAAAATATTCATAATCGCGATCATTCTCGTCATGAGTTGTGTAAATGTTCTGAAAAAAGTCCGCAAATAAATTACTGATCTCACCAGATGTGTTCCCGGTTCTGTTATCTAACTGCATTTTAGAAGGAAAGTTCTTCGATTTTTGTCTCTCTTTAACATAGTTAAAAAATGATTTTGGATCTGTTTTAATATTATTTTCTACCTTGGTATTATGTTCTTCATATGCATTTTTCATTTCTTCATTCAGTTGATCGCAGACTTCTAGATAAAATGTAAGATTTTCTTCACTATGATTTCTTTTATAAATCTTATGTGCTTTCTGTTTCCTATTTTTAAGATTGATAACCTTTTTATTGTACCAAACTGGTGTCTTGGACTTTGTGGGTTTCCTCTGCTTCAAGGGTACCGTCTGTTGCAGAATTTTATAAATAATTTGATAAAATGTGTCCACTGCCTGTTCTATGTCAAGATTACGTATTGTAGTTTGCCAGTCAATACAGGCTAATTTTTCTTTGAGAAGTACATAGTTTGCTTTATGAAAGTCGAAGTATGTTTCAGATAAATTGTTATCAAACGTTACCGTTTTTTCATGTACCGTGCCGATTCAAATTTCGGACACTTAAACTCGAATTTCGGACACTTTTAAAAGTTGATTATCTCGGTCGAATATGATCCACATGTCTTGTAAATTTTAAATTTTTTTGACTAGTGCCCTCCACGATCATCTAACATTATTACTTTGTTTCTAACTGGATGTAATATTTAATTAAAAATGAAAGTGTCCGAAATTTGAATCGTCCGAAATTTGAATCGGAACGGTATGAATATGGAGTATTCAATAGCAGTGTGGAACACTTCGTTTTTCCAAAGAGGGGTGGGTGACTCTGATACCCAGAAATCATCAGTCATATTAGTGAATAACAAATCTAAGTAGGCAGTTATTTTGATTTTTTATGTGATTTATTTGGTTGAGTCCAATTTCTGCACTTTTGTCGAACAGAGTACGAAGTGTTTCATTTTCTCCTATAATCGGTATCAACAAAGATTCGTTGTCGTCATCAACAATAAAATTCACTGAGCGTTGGTTAAAATCTCCGTATATGTGAACATTTGCTTCCGCCTCACATTTCGAAATAATATTTTCAGCTAGTTTAAAAAAAATTTCGTATGAATCTTGCTTTGCATATTCTGGAGGAAAATATACTGTCGCAAAAATATGAACTTGATCTCCTATGAAACATTTGACCCAAACGTGATCAAACTACTTACACTTACAAGATGATATTTGTTCAGATTCATAGTCAACACTAACTGCTACTATGACACCACCACCACTTTTTTTGTTGGATAACATTTTATCACGATCATCCCTAAAAACATTGAATCGATCACCGAAAACTTCTTCGTTCTTTACTCCAGCATCCCAGCTGGTTTCCGTTGCTAAAATTGCATGCTGATACTTGTTTATAAATTTCGTTCACTTTGAAAGCACTTTTCATTCTGTTAAAATTTTGGCAATAGACGAGTAGCTCCTTGCTTTCATTTGTACATTGCGATGTTATGAACACTTAAAACTATTAAAATTAATTACCTCTTCTTCTTGATCCGGAGAGGTCGTCAAATCTTGAAAATCGGTCGGTTCTGCAACACTGTTGTCATCTACTTCCTCTGGAGAGAGCGTCAATTTCGACGAAAACACGAATGTCTACATAGACACGCTTCGGTCGATGTAGAGGGGTTAGCCAGCCAATGTGAATTCGCAGTACCGCTGACCGGGTAAGGGTTTAATATTTCACCTTTTTCAAATCGCATCGACAGTGTATAGTTAACCGGAGGTTTGGAGAAGCGATCCTTTGCCACAGTTAGAAGCTCTCGATCAGTGGGGAGCAAATTGGATCTATTGTAATTATTGTCGCCGTGGTTATTGTTGAAGCCGAAAATTATCCTCCGATTGTTGTTGTTATTGTTGTTGTGATTGTTGCGGTGATTTCGTAAGCTAAAGTTGTTGATGTTTTGATACCTTCTGCTTTGTCGCTTGCGTCGCCTTTTTGCATTATCAGCCTGTTTTTGCTGATTCGAACGTCTTAATTTCCGCGCATCGTATTCAGACCAATCGGCCTTCCATACTCTCCTCGTACCTATAAGACGCCACCCGGAGCTATCAGCGTCCTTTTCCTTGTTCAATTCTACCTCCAAACTGGGGTGTAAGTCGGGAGAAGATGGTAGCCATGCAGTATGGTGTGCTATGTTGGCAGACCTTCACCTCATCGAGTATTTCAAGCTCCAACATTGAATTTGTTTGCATTGTGCAACTTGCCGCGGTATCTAAAGAGAGCTGGGTGAGCTGGCTAACCTCATCATTTAAGTTACGTAGGTCAGTTGATAGCTCTGACGTCACTGATTTGACCGCCACATTAACATTCTCCTTTGTTGACATCGTTGCAGTATCAAGTAGCGAGGTAATGTGGTTTTTTATGGCAACGACACTGCCTGCTAAACTGTTACTTTTATTAATTGCGGCCAACTCATTTTTCATACTAGTCAGCAAAATTTCTATGCCATCGATCGCTTCATGAACGAGATTCGGTTTTTCTTGTTGAAACGTGAGCCGGTGCATCACCTCCGCATTGCCATTCAGTTGCTTTTCGATCGATTTTTGCTGTTCAGCAATGCTTTTAAAATCGAGTTTTGCCTGTAAAAGCTCTTGACAGGACTCGCAGCATGGTAGTATGTAAGATGTAAAGTCCGATACCTTCCTGTCCTTCCTGCGAAGTGAGTTGTACAGTTACCCCAATGCAGGTAGCGTGGAACATTCTTGGGCAACCTGCACACGTCCACATGATCGAGTCGACAGAAGTGTCGCAAGCACACATTTCGCAAACCATGATATATGCAAGTAAAAATAACTGAATCACAGAAGGTAAAAAAAAAAAAAAAAAAAAAAAAAAAATCGCGCCAATTAAAAACGCGGAGCCAAATAAAGGTACGTCCGAACTTATCGACGGTCGAGTTTGAATGCAATCACAGTGGATTGGGGAAGCAGATGTTCCAACGCAAGAGGGTACAGTCTGCTGGAAATTCTAGCAAAGCTGGAAGTGAGGCTGTCCAACGAAGGCAGTCCGTCGCTGGTACCGAGGACGATAACTTGTAACCGGAAGTGGAAGACGAAGGCTTTCCACAAGTCTTTGCGTTGAAGTTCTCGGTATGGACAGGGGCCCGGGATCTGAACGCGGACGGGCTAACAGAAACGATAGTGAGAGCATGTGACACGAGCATGAGGAGGCAACTGGAGCCAAATGACGGCGTCCAGCTTACAGGTGAAGGCCATCGCCGAAGCGCTGCATAGAATGCGGGTCCCAGACTGCCTGTGCAGGATCCTGAGGAGCTACTTCCAGGAGCGGGTTCTGGTCTACTAGACAGACATCGATTACGATCACAGCAGGAGTTGCACAAGGCTCCATCCTTGGTCCAACGGTTTAGGACGGGATTTACAACGGCGTGCTAACGCTGAAGCTGCCCAAAGGAGTTGAGATCGTTGGCTTTGCGGACGACGTCATCTTGACGGTAACAGGTGAGACGCTGGAAGACCTGGAAATGTTGGCGACCGAGGCGATCGTCATGATTGGTAACTGGATGCAAGGAGCGAAACTACAGATAGCCCATCACAAAACGGAAGTGCTATTGGTCAGTAACTATAGATCGGTGCAGCGGGCAGCAATCACCGTCGGGAAACACGCTTTAGTCTCGAAGCGCGGGTTGAAATACCTGGGAGTGATGATCGATGACCGGCTAATCTTCAACAGCCACGTCAAATATGCCTGTGAGAAGGCTTCGAAGGCTATCACTGCGATAGCTAGAATCATGCCGAACACCTCTGGTCCCAGCAGTAGCATGAGGCGTCTTCTGGCTGCCTGTTTTGCAGTGCTGGAAACGAAGAAAACTAAGCAGTACGCTTCGACTCATGGCCATGCGATTCGTGAGTGCGAACAGAACCATCTCATCGGAAGCAGTATGCGTTATTGCTGGAATGATCCCTATCGGCATCACCCTGGCGGAGGACAGTGAGTGCTACAAGCGAAGAGAAGCCGGAAGAGTACGGGAAGTGGTGAGTTGAGTCGTTGGTTAAGTGGCAACAGGAGTAGCACACGCCGGAGAACGGTAGGTGGACACATAGACTAATACCGATTATTTCGACCTAGGTGAACAGAAAACATGGATAAGTCAACTTTCACCTGTCTGACCACGGCTGCTTCAGGAAATACTTGCATCGGATAGGATACGCAACGTCACTCCTCTGTCCGAAGTGTGGCAACGTGGATGAAACGCCGGAGCATGTGGTCTTCGACTGTCCAAGGTTCGAGGCAGTGCGAAGGGAGATGCCCGTCCTTAACGTGAAGAATGTCGTAGATGAAATTTGTCGATAGGAGGGCACTTGAAATGCGTCTTCTGGCTGTCGTAACTGGGCATCATCCTACTCGAGATTTGGCTGGATTGCGCTACTTATTCAAATAAGAGGGCTTTCCGTGCCAAGTTCTCGATCGTAGTAGGCTGCTGGTATTTGGTGATCGGTACTCGGTGGTTGCCTTGGTTACCGTCGACAGAGGGCTCGCTTGGGGACTCTCACTTCCAGAAGAAGGAGAGGGCTCGCTTGCTCGTCGTTGGGTCGGTTGCCTTATTGTGCAAGTATATCTACTGTGGTACAAACATCTAGCCTGGGTTGCAGCAGGGAATCACGTCAAGTTGAACAGTACGATCCGGCTCATGGCTATGCGAGTCGTGAGTGCGTACAGAACCATCTGGTCGGAAGCAGTATGCGTTACCGCCGGAATGACCCCTATTGGCATCACTCTAGTGGAGAACAGTGAGTGCTGCAAGCAGAAGTAAACCAGAAGAGTACGGAAAATGGTGAGCGCAGAGACAATGGCCAAGTGGCAACAGGAACGGGACACGGCTGAGAACGGTAGATGGCCTCATAGGCTAATAGCGATTCTCTCGACCTGGGTGAACAGAAAGCACGGAGAGGTAAACTTCCACCTAACGCAATTCCCATCTGGTCACGGTTGCTTCAGGAAGTACTAGTTCGGACACGCAACATCCCCTCGCTGTCCGAGGTGTGAAAATGTGTCCTAGATTCGATGCAGTGCGAAGGCAGGAGTACTCATATCTTCGCGAAAAAATAAGAATAATTTTGTTTAGATGATGTTTATTTCACAATACATACCTGTTTTCGTACTAAACATTTTGTATGAATTATACACTTCTAAAAAAACTAATGTCAATAAATGCATAAATAAGGACAAGTTTGGTTTGTATTAATCTTAAGATTCCCACGGATAAGAGAATAACGAATTATTTGGTATTAATAAAGAAAAATGCTGCCATTTTGTGCCCAGATTGTGTTTTTGCTCCTAAATGTAATGTCATCCAAAATATAATCTTAACTTATCATGGCAATTAGCGATCGTTTGGATTATATAACTAACAATTTAAAATACCGGTCACTAAAAGACTAGAGCTTTGCAGAGATAGTTAAAATAAAAATTCGATCTCGAATAAAACAATGTTAAAAGAAAGTTAATGACCAGAGGGATGTTTTACAACTCATCATCGAAATGGTGAATATTATGCAGATGATCTCCGTAATCGGTTGCTTCGCTACCTACAAAGATGTCGTATTTGTTGATAATTTCTTCGTACGACAGACGTTCATCATGATCTTCATCGGCCGATACAAACAGATGAGCCACTTCGTCTTCAGCTACCTCTCTAAAAATGAAATTATCCAAAAATATACAGTAATGCTCAGCATCTATCATTAAATTCACAACTCACTCATTGCTAGGAAGAATCCAAGACAGAATTTCGTTTCCATTCAAATAACCGTCCCCGTCCCTGTCGAAATCAAGATCGAACCGCTCCTTCTCCGTTATCAACCAGTCCCTGTCGTGATCTCTGGAATGCTCGGCCGCGTACTCCTGGAAGTCTATCTTTCCATCCTTATTAGCGTCCTTATTGCGTAACGTTTGCTTCAGAACGACAGCAAACATTTGCGGGAATTCCTCCGGCGACATAAACTGGACAAACTCGTTCAAATCCAACTTTCCATCCTTATTGCTATCGGCAGCTTCGAACATCTCTTTATCATCGACCATCAATTTTCTCTCCTCTTCTTTATGAGGATCCAATTCCATCTGTTCGGCGTCTTCATCCTCATTCTCCATACCGTATGTATCGGCATAGTATTCCTCCCACGTAATCACCTCGTCATTATTCTGATCTATATCCTCAAACCGATCGGCAGCTTCTTCCTCGAGCAAACTCTTGAACGACCTCAGAATCCAAGCCTTCAATTCGTGTCGGTCGATAAATCCGTCCGAATTGAGATCCATTTTGACCACCAACAGCGCCAACCGTCGCTTCGATTCCTCCGGTGAGAGTGAATCAAATTCTTCCGCTTCCTTTACACTACCCAAAATGGCTTCATGGTCGAATTCGGAATGATGTTCATCCCCTTCCATGTGATGGGCATCGCGAGGGGCAAAGCTTCCATCCTCCATTCGTTCCTTGGCACCGCCAGATGGGTGATGGGTGTGCTTGTGTGTTGTGGCAGCTAAGGAACCAGCCACTATCGCTCCCAATAGGAGCGCCAGGAAGACACCGGTTCTTGGCATTATTGCTATGCAAAAATCGACAATCGAAGAGAGTTAATTCATATTACGTGACGTACAATAAGTCTAAATTTATTCTCCACATATAAAGAAGCCGAATGTCGTCTAGTGGTAATCTAATAATAGCTAATATTGTTAGTCTACAAACTTGATAATATTTTACAGCTTTCGTAACAAATTTAGAGAATAAATTAAGCGTAATAAAGTAGATAACACATTTCTCACCTGCCAATTTATAAATAATAATGAATTAAATTGATGATATTCGGGAAACCAATTAAATTATTTGAGATTCCAGATGTTCCTGCAGTGCCGACTCTGCACACGAAAAAAGTGAAGATTGGCGTGATGTAAACAATGCAGGCGGAGATTAAAATTTCACTTTGACGTCTTATCTTTCTTCGCCCCTCCTCCGGGGCAAGCCTGTTCTCCGGCTATTTCGAAGCAGCGCTGTTGTGCGTTTAGTGCTGCAGTTGCAGACAATTTAGTCGACATAGGGGAAGCGCTCCAGTTTTGGCCATGTTCCTATATTGGCCACCTTCTGACGATATTTCACGTTGTTTACAATTTTGAGTTTTCTTCAGTTGCTTTCAGTTTGTTGATCCAAATCATATTCAGCGGTGAAGGTACATAAACATGTCGACCACAAAATTGTAATTCTAATTTGTAAATGTTCAGTGTATAGGCTGTGCCAACCGCTAAGTTGCCTTATCTAGGGACTAACCCCCTAGTCTATACACCTACTGTCCTTCGCGTTGCACTCGTCAGCTCGTGAGATACTCTCGACACACATGAGTGGTCGTATCCAGATCCTTCCCTGGGTAGGCTCGTGTCTGTCCAGGTTCTGGTACATTAACTTCCATAGTAACAATTTTGGTTTTATGAGGGTTCTGTAGACCACGATTTAGACTTGTAGAATGCTATAAAACCTCTATAAAACTTGCAATGTTACTTGAGTTATCTCTATGCATGGTAATTATACTTTATAACTCACCTTTTGATAACTGACATAATCCCAAGCCATCGAAAGTTCCTCAAAGTACCAAGGCTGCAAAATGCGTGTTGATTCTTGTTGGACATGGGTGGTTCTCAGCAATGCGATAACCCATGGTTATGATTCAGCCACCAATCGAAAGATATGGCTATCTAATTTTATTTTGAATAGATAGAAACCCAATTGGACCTGTAGATGGCCAGCCGGAACGGAAAAACCCGGAAAAATCCTGAGCAAAATGCGTATCGATTTATGTTGACATGACTGGTTCTCGGCAATTTGGTTACCACATCTTAAGATTGAGCCACTACTTGAAAGGTATGATTATCTACTTTCAAACGGAACAGACAAGAAATCGATTGGAGTTGTGGATGGCCAATCGAAACGATAAAACCCGTGAAGGTGGCTCTGTGGAAATTCGGATTCACCGGAAAAATGGTCAATTCTTAAAAGTAATCCTAAAATAACAGTATAGCTTAAAGTACAAGTCCAGATAGAGCTAGAATAAGGGTCTAACAGCATTTGTAAATGATGACTTCTCCCGATGATTTCTAAGAATTCAAGATCAAGACACACCCACGCAAACTAACATAACCATCATGCTTTACCGAAAGGTTAGCAAAAGTTCCAAATTATGGTTATTCCGATGCTTTATGTTCTCGAAACCCGGCGATGCCAATTCATTCTGTTGTAAAATATGTTCAATAAGTTGATTTTTAGGTGGTTGGCCGCATTGCCCCCCACTGTCCCCTATCAACTATTATGGCGAAGAAAATGAGAAGTAGGGTAAAGTGGGACAATTTCGCCAAAAGGGGCAATGTGCGAGGCAATGCCACCCGCTTAAAAATCAACGTATTGAACAAATTTTACAAAAAATCTGTTGCAGGCTTAACGCTTAAGAAGGCTTCATTTTTTTTTCGTATTTCAAGCTTATTGCGTATGACATATTAGCTTATTGCGTGCTCTCAACTTAATGTTCTAGATGCACTTCCACAGTTATTAATTGAGACCTTTCGATGTCTGTACCATTTTTGCATTAGTATAATTGTGTGGCAACCAGTGATGGAAAAGTTCATCAAAGTTCCCTATGACACGCGAACTTTTCCCTTGGTGAACTTCGTGAAATATCGCGAACTTTTCCAACACTGGTGGCAACAACTACAATCATATACTCTGTGCCAACCCAAAAATATCGTAAACCGACCGGGAATCGAACCCAGCCTCTCCAGCATGATCTTGCTTTGTTGCTGCGCCTTTACCAACTGAGCTAAAGGAGGCCCTTGAACGGTCCATTTAATTTTAGTCTAAAAACATACTTTTCTCTAGAGCGAACATTCAAAAAATGTTAGACTACCGCAAAATGTAAGAAATTTAAAAGATTTCTGAATCATAAAATAAGGTTTACCAGTAGATTCGTAGTTTGCAATAAACATTGAAGTTTTTCTGAACAAGATATTACTTAAGTTCATTCGGGCATCAGTCATTCACAAGACTGCAAAAATATAACATAGCATATTCGATTGTACAAATTGTGGGTTGCTATAGGGTGGGTGAGCCAGTAGTGGAGGTACTAAGCCAATTTATCAATTCAAAAATAAATATACGATGTACACACAAATTGCAAATGCTCATTACAGCTAAAAATGGTATTTTTCGGATTTATGAAGCTATGGGATATTTCAATGATAATTCTTATTTACAAGATGCAAGAAAAGAAGGTAATACCCCGTTCACATTATAGCGTATATCACGTGATATACGCTGTCTTGCAATGAGCACTCATACATCTAGTCTTCACTGGAAATCATATGTATGAGTGCTCATTGCAAGACAGCCTATATTACGTAATACCTCCATACCGCAACTATAGGTACACCACTATTACTGGAACACCTACCCTATAATGGTCAACTAATACGTTTTGCAGAAAATATCGTGTGTTGACGCAAAAAAAAACACTTGGGATTAGTGATTTTCCCTTTATAGATGTTCGGGTTTTAGAACAGCTGAATGCTCGGTAGCTTTTTGTGTTACCGAATGCCCAGTTGTAGAAAATTTAACGTGAACTGTCAAAAAGTGCAGTTTGTACCGTAACATACAAGCGGGTTGTTCAGTAAGTTCGTTGTTGGGTTTTATAATGGAATAACAGGGTGTCAATATTTAGTAATACAACTTTTTCGGCAAAATTGTTATAGTTTTGCTGACTTACAGTTGAAAAATCGAATGGTGATTTTTTGAAATTTACCGACCTAAACATTTTTTTTTTCAATATGATATAGCCATTGCTTTGAGTTGTTTTTGATTAAAATATGAAAATGTTGGAAATTGCGTAGAAAATAGTTTATTTTTATTCTTCCGTTGTTGTCCGGAATACAGGTTCATTGTATTTAACTTTCTTTTTACTCGTGTTACGCTACTTTAAGATGCTTCCTACGCTTGACGTTTATATTGACTGTTTCTTACTTTAGTTTTATTCTTACTCAGAGCAACATCACATGGCGAATTTTCTTGCGGGTACCCACACACTTTGATATTATACTTTCACAGATTTTTACAATGTCCGAGACTCTGCTTTGCGGTAGACCTGCATCTGCATTAAGCCGGCAGATACTTAGACTGTGTACCATTTGCCAAGTTAAATTTAACTCGTGGTTAAAAGTGACATTTCGAAAGTTATTTCTTATGTTCGTAAATCCCTGTGTTACCTATTGATCGGTTTTTGAGCAGAACTCAGCCACGGTTGTCAAAATTTAACTTCTTTAATTTAACAAAAATTTAACTAAAATTTAACAAAAATTTAACTTGTTTGTCAGAAATAACCACGCTCGGATAGCAGGGTTTATCGATAACTTTCCATTTGTCCAAAAGTTAAAAAATCAAACAAATGGTTCAGAGCCTTAGTGCAGCAGCCCTTTTATTTGATTCAGTGTTGCCTCCTGATTGTTACCGGTGGTGTAGTGGTAAGCTTGACTGCTTTCTCACCCCAATGGGTCTGGGCTCAATCCCAGCCGAGGTCGGTGGGATTTTTCTAAGGCATACAAATCTCTGGTCACGTCTTCCTTCGGAAGGGAAGTTAAGCCGTTGGTCCCGGCCCATGTGTGTTGATGAATGGGTGCGATATCCTACGCAGGTGTGGAAGCTGCCTTCCTGCACATTCGATTGCCTTCAATGGATGGCAATCGATGTCCGTCGGTGATTGGCACTAGATTGCGGAACAGAGACCGACGTTAAATAAAGGAATTTCAGGGTGTCGACTCAAAGTCGAAAAAAAAATCCCTGACTTTCCAGCCGGTTTTCAGAAAAATTCCAGTCCACAAAACTCCGTTATTTCAACCTAAGAAGCTACAACGTGATGTGTTTATTATACCGTAGTGCAAATTTAGGTTAGTTTAAAATGAGCAGCAGGGCAAGCTTTCGAAAATATCAAGAATAACATACTCATGGCACGTACAACAGAACTTGATACTAGTACAATTTTTACAGAACATATGACCGACTACCAACGAAGGATGTGAATAGGCCTACGGCTATAAATACATATTATAATATAATAATGAATAACTACTGCTCACGACTAGGCTCACTATTCATTACTAAGTAATAATAGGAATATTTAATCAATGTCACCAAGCTCTCAATTTGTGTCCATAATGTCACAGTCAAATAAAAATCAACCCGTAGACGATCCTTTCTCTTAACATATAAATTATTGTAAAATAACAGAGCAGTGATTATTCATGCTTTGGCAAACGAACCTGAGGATGCACTGCTCATGCATTAGTCAGTTTCGTACTCTTTGGAACTCCATATGACAACCGCAGACATGGCAAAATAATTTATGTTTAATTAGCATTAACATTTTATTCTCTCAGTGAGTTCACATTACAAAGAGAAATTACAAGTTGAATAGGGAAGAGCGCTACTTCATCGTAATCGCCCATTTCCGTTCTATCGAGCAGAAATCATTAATAATGTCAATGATTTCACCATGCACAAAACAATAATACGTTTGTTCCGATCCGTTAGTTCATAAGCCACAACATAAAGCCTATTACAGCGCATTGTATATGAATATTTACATTCATTGCTCTTAAAACAAAAGAAGCGTTCCTAGCAAAACCCCTTTTTCTACGTTTATCAGTAGGACGAAGAAAATTTAATGGCGTTTCAATGCGTTAGGACGGAATTGAAACTCGTAGGACGAATTTAGAATCAAGAAGCAGTGTTAGATTTTTAATAATATCTCAACATTGTTGGACTGTAGATTTATTAATTAATTTAAAAATGTTTATCATTTGAGCAGAATAATTTTCTCCTGCAAACTCTCCGCTTCTTTTTGAGCATCTTGAGCTCTCGGAATCGAGAGCTTCTTTCATACGACGATCTTTGTCTACATGGAAAGCGAATGCGATTTTTTGAACTGGCTGAATAAGTTCATTCAAAATTTGTAAGTTTTCCAACCCGCCTGCATGAGTAACACCATCATAGATCTGACGTCGCGCTACGACTGAAACGTAATGTGGGCGGAAGCGGAACGGAAACGGCAAGTTTGACAATTATCACAAATGACATCAAGATGCCTAACCGCACTCGATTTGATTCTAACTAGTTTTCAATCCGACAAGTAGGCTTATAGTACGTTCAGACTACAGAGTTATAACATGTTATAGTGCTATCTTGATGGTGGTTTCTGTGTTGCAATTATTTGACAACCGTTATAACATGTTATAACTCTCCAGTCTGTACAGCGTTTTACTCAGATCGGGCTTTCCGCTACCACTGCCGTTCCGCTGTCATTGCGCTTGGGCCTTGACTCTTCCCTCATGTTTTCAAAAAGATATTCTGCATTTACCGAAAAACCTCTCTGTGTATTGGCGTTGCTAATTATCAAAATAGTTTGACCCATCTAATAAATACCAATTATGTTATATATCATGCTTTATTATAAAGTTATTAACATAAATGTCTCAAAAAAGTGATGCATAAAAATGTCAATTACTAAAAATATAGCAAAAAGTAGCAGCCAATTTTTTTACAGTGATTAGTGTAGACCTTGTTGGGTAATATAACGACCACAAATCAACAGGCAACTGCAGGCATTTTTATATAACATCATTTGAATATTGCATATTGTAAATTCTTTCAAATTTGTTGAAATTTTGCTATAGGTGATAGATTGTTTGATAAGCTCCGATTTATATTTGTTCGAGGTAAATTGTGGACTGTAAACAGCACTAATCATTTTTAAATCGAGTATTAATGGTATTAAATTTTGCTTTCTGTTATTGGTGTTAATATAGTAATATATATTGGTGTTCATAATAGTTCCGTTAATTGTATTTCAAATGTATTATTTATTTATAACAGATCTACAAAGCTTGATATATTTCAGAAACTAGATATTGTAATTAACTGCATTCAGTCCCAACCTTGAGGAATAATACATCCCATCCATAAGTGGCCGGCTTACCCCGATACAAGTCAAGCTGTAACAGCTTTTACCTCATAATTTAAAGTAAGCTTTCTACTTTTCTCTGTAATTCCATCGAACAGATTTGTGTTTTCCTAATAGTAACATTACTTTTACATGATAAATAATATAATAGTTCTAAATCATTACAATCCGGAGGCACTTTTCACCTGTTATCAAGCTAAGAAATCTACATTTTTTATCAAGAGTAGATTGTTTCAATAATCCAAAAGATGGCCGTCTCCGTTCTCCTCTAGAATAAATCTAGAACTACTGTAAGAAAGCCTTTTAAGATAAACTTAATGAAGAAGTTCGTTCCTGTTAAAAGTATGCAGTGATAAATTTATTCTAAAACGATTCCATCTGTTCACGTGAGACAACTCTTTATAGAAAAATACGTAGTTCTTGTAAGAGAAAAATTACGGTAATCGCTCTTATTCCCGCTGGTTTGTTTGAAAACGAAAATAAGTAAAGGACGAATATTCTTGGTTGAATATTGAAGTTTTCTACACCTGGCCTAGTCTTTAAGGCTCAATGAAAATAGATAATTAAGGACTGTCATCGGCAATGAAGTTGAACTTTCGAGCATTTACTAAATATGACAATTGATTATATTATATTCGAGTACGATGTAAAAAGTATGCAATAATGTATGCCGTGTGCATTTCATAATATAATAGGTTAGGTTACGTCATAATGTTTATGAATTCGGAAAATAAAACATGTTTACATAATTCATATAAAATACACTGGTAAATGAAAAATACCTGATTTTTTGGTTTTATATATTGCATTTAAATTATAAAACTAAAACTACCAGTTAAATGAGTGAGATATAAAAATTGGATGTCTTCCACGATTTTTGGTTTAACTTACAGGAAAAGTGTTTAGAGTATTATCACTGTGCAAAATGACATGTGTGTAGTACTTACCACCGCAGCGGCGTTAACTTACTATTGTGCAATCCATTGTTGGCAGCGACTACCCCTTGGGCCTGTGTCGGACTAATGGTTATCAACGGGGCCAGTCGTTCGGTGAATCGAGCGTAGTTCCTCTCCAGTTCTTTCTGATAGTCTTTCTGGTCGGAAAGAATCAGATTGCGGTTCTTTTTCAACGCATCCGAACATCTGCAAGCGGGAAATTTAGTTGCATTGAATGTAAGAATTTTGCTAAGTTCAATATTTGGGAAACCTACTTTTTGGAAAAATCTTTGAAACAAAGTCGCAGTTTATTCTGATGTTTTGTAGGAATGGTTGTGCTGTCTGCGATGCCGGACAAAAATACCATGGCCATCTCCATGGGACCCTGATTGACGGTGGTGCCGATGCAACCCTGCAGCACCATTTGCAGGATCTTTGGATCCGCAGGCTCCTGATTGGTGGCGGCGGCCAACTCGACAGTCTTTTTCTGAATATCTTCGATCGCGACCTCGATCGGTTCCAGCACGATCTGTTCCCGGCTAACCACCTGGATACGTGTCTTCACGTAAGGGAAATGATTGGCTGTGGTGAGCATGGTTTTCCGTTTGCATTGTTCGTGCAGCTCGCCGTGAGCCTTTCCGGATTTTGTGAACGGTGTTGCAAAGATGAAGCGTTCTGTAATACAGAAACGAGATTGATAATGAAGCGATATAATATAGTTTTAAGACAAATAGAAGGCTTACTGATGTTAAAGTTCCTCTCAAAGTACGTCTCCCTGTACCGGAGTTCGTACGTCTCGAAGTACGGTTCTACGTAGGTGATTTGGATGTATGCCTTCTCCGAGTCCAGCGTCTTGACATCAACCGCATTGGAATCCTTAATAATCTGAACCATATCCGGCCCAAATCGATCGGCATAGAAGTTCTGCAGACGACTGAATATCTCCGGCAGTTTGGTCAATGTTGGCTCCTTGTAGATGAATTCCTGCTGATCCAGATCACCAAACTTTGCTCCGTAGAAACCCACCCGGAAGTAGGTTCCAAAGACACGCTTTCCGTGAAGCTGAGCAATGCGATTGAACGCTTCCTGAAGCTTGCCGTGTATCTGTGCAAGCTTACGGAAGTCACGATTTGCCTCGCAAATCGGTATCAACACTTTGTAGACATCGTTCATCGCCTCGTACATTCCAGCGATCTGGAACGAATTAGCAGCCTCCTCAAGTAATGCTTTCAATCCACCTTCGGTGAATCTATTGCCTAAGCATATTCCATCTTCACCGGGGCTCAGTACGTCATCCGATACAGCCGACTCCATAAGGGAATTCGGGGAGATATGCTTGAATGAAACGGCGCCCACCGGAAGGTGAGTTTGAGATTCTAGCATGCTCAAATACTCCGCAACGAGCGCGGCACTGTGGACGTAACACATAGCCGCTTCGGTGTGATTAGCACGTTCCATGTGCTTCTTGGCCATGTTTTCCAACCAAGTCAACCGGAGATCCGGTGAGTTTTGATACCCCTTGGCAATCCGGTTCATCAAATCAAGCAACATTTCCGGATCTTCCTGGTATTCCTTCATTTTGACCGTGTCGGAAAGGATCATGTGCAAATTGAACAGCAGGTCTTGGACCTGTTCCGGGAAGGATGTTTCCTGCAGATCGTAATCGGATTCAGCGTACACGAGAATGGTCTTCAGCGCACGGCGAAGAGACTGCTCGCTGAAGGAGGAACTGGTTCCGACCAGGGAGCTAAGCGACATCGTGACTTGCATCTTGACGCGGGCAAAATTCTGGGAATAGAAAAATAGAAGCAATAAGTAGCGATTTGTTGTTGTGGCCAGGTCACTCTCGCTTTGCTTATTTCAAGAACAACATGTGAAATGTGCTTTCTCCTTCCCGATGATGTTGTTGGTTTGCGTGGGTGACCCTCGGTTGGATGAAAAGGGCCTACAAAGGTTTGTTTATACAAAAAGCTTGTATGCCCTTTTCACATGTGGCTCTTGATTTGTTTTCACAAATTCAGTGTCAACATTTCAAAGGGGCTTGATTGCTTTTGTTAACAATGGCTTTAGCTGTCGATTTCTCGCATCCTAAAGCTCACTCCTTCAAAATAACAATGCTAGATGGTACAGGAATCATTCTTCTACCTATTGGTGTCATTATTTTTCATGGGTGAGCTTTTATTCGCGAGAAATCAACGACTAAAACAATTGTTTACAAATGCAATTACGCCTCTTTCTAAGGCGATTTAATATGGTTATTTCCTGTTTGTTCAATGTGAGCCCTTTGCACCGGATTTTTTTTTGTCTGACTTTTTCATCCAGTTGAAATGCCATTTACCTTTTTCTGCTGATGTTTTTTTTTTTTTGTATTCTGTTTTTCATTGATCCCATATTTCCTTTTCGGCTAGCAGCAGTGCATCTGCCATGACCAGATTGATGTTGTCTGATATGTTTCCTTTTGTGGCTGACTGGGCTTCGTGGTCAGTCCTTTCGTTGCCATCTATTCCCGTGTGAGTGGGTATCCACTGAATTACTATTTTGTTCTTCGGATTCTCCTTGATTTTTTGACGATTTGCCATGATGTTATGTTGCTGGTGATCTTCCGATCGTTTAGCAGTGTTTGGCATGCTGAGCTCGAGTCCGTGAATATGACCGCTTTGTTGAGTTTTTGGGCCACTATCCAATCTGTGGCCTGCGTATAGCTAATAGCTCTGCTTTTGTTATTGAGTAATTATCGTTGATCTTGTCCTTCCGCACTTCTTGTGTTAAGTCGTTGTAGATTGCCGTTCCTGTTCCATATTGTGACTTCGAAGCGTCCGTGTACAAATGATGATAGTTTCTGTATGATTGGTTCTTCACATTCAAAAACGTTTGCTTCGAAACTGCTGGGTTGCAGTTTTGTTTGGATGGTTGATTGGTGTCTAGTTTTTGGTATACTTTTAGGTCCGGGCTTGCGTCGATCAATCTTTTGCGCCTCAGGGAGACTATCGAGCTGTCCTTTGGATGTACCTGGGCCACAATATCGTTGTGTTTAGATGCTATATCTTTGTAAGGTATGTGCCAGTTGGGGGATCATCGTTGTTGGCTGCTTGTTTGATGAACCCGTATCAACTGATTTGAGTGATATTTACTTTTGATGATGTCCTTTAATGCCAAAAGTTCCGTCCGTGATTGCACTGGCATTTACCCGGATTCCGCCAACATCACATGGATTGGGGTCGATTTGAGGTACCGCATGGAATTTGTGTTGAACGCATTTTGAAGGGTTTGAATTTTTTTAATGTTGGACTGTGCAGCTTCTCCGTACATTTGGGCTCCGTATTCATATCTGTTTTGTATCAGGGCATTTCCTATTTTTATCAGCGTCTGAGGGTTTTCATTACTAGAACGTTTCCCTAGCATCTTGATTATGTTCAGCTTCTTAGCTCCTGCTTCCCTTACCACTTCCCTTACCGTGTTTCCGGTGTGTGAGGGTTCGATCCATGGTTTATCCTAGATATTTGTGGGTGTTGTTGATTTGAACCTTGTGGTTTCCTATCTTTATCCTGAGTTGTTCCGAGTTTTTCCTAGTGAAGAGTACCGCTGCTGTTTTCGTTGGGTTGAGTTTTAGGTTGAGCTCTTCAAGTGCTTTTTTCCGGTTTAGGTAGGAAGTTGTTTGCCTTGACTGTGATTTACTCCACATCTTTCCCGATGACTACTATCGTGAAATCATCTGCAAATTGGACAAGCACCACTCCGTCTTTCTTGATGTCGTGCAGTGTAGTGGTGTAGAGGTTGAAGAGCGTCGGAGATAGAGGACATCCTTGGGGTAGGCCTTCAGTAACATCAGCTATGACTTCTTCTTCCGAAGTTTTTATTACCATCGTTCTTTGGGTCGTGTAGGTGTGGATCCAGGAATGTTTAGAGATGCTAGCAAGCATGGGAAAAATCGTTCCATTTTGCATTCTCAACTCACTCACACGCATACAACATCAGAAACGAACAGCAGCTTGTGCGAGCCGAACTGATTTCGTTCGTATTCGCATTGCTTCTATTTTCTTCGATGAATGCAGAATTGAGCAAAACAGACAGCTGAGCGTAACATGAATGATTCTGAGTGTAGTAGTGTGGATGATTCCTCTCTTATTATTTTTTCCATGCTGAGCCTTTTACGATTGCATTCTGCTGAGTGAGCTGAATGAGAATTTTGCAGAAAGAATCACTTTTTATTTTCTAGCTTTCAACATACATTGACACATTTAAATCGCTATTAATATCGAGAAAACTGTTATACTGTAACACATAAACATAAGCGTCACGCAAATAACTTAAAACTGCTGTGGCCAATTCAACTGATTTAAATCAGTGAGCCAAAAACTATCTGACTCGGCTATTTAAATCGTTAGCATTCGGATTTTACGCATTCAATCTGGTTCTCCCTCGCTAGAGAAAATTTTTCGCCTGCCTTTCAGTTTATCCTTATTTCCTTCTCATGCTGTCAGTTCTGAGTCGAGCTGCAGAGTCACTTGGTAGGAAGAATTTACCCTCGTTCTGCAATCTGTTTGTAGGCGAGGATGGCTATTTTGATTCTGTGGTGCTCGCGCGAGTGAATGAATTTTCCCATGCTTGGATGCTAGTAGTGCCTTTTAGTAGTAGCGTTGTGTCCACGGAGTCGAATGCCTGTGATAGGTCCAAGAAGATGCCCACTGCCTGTTTTCCTTCCATCTGAACTTCTTTTACTGTAAATATGACTACATGGTAATAACAGCAACTCGGTGATTAAAAAGGTGCTCGTCTGCCTAGTGGCAAACGTTTTTGCTTACCGAGCAGAAGAACGTTGGTTTAGTCCCAAGCTCCTTCGCGTTATATGATCGTTAGGACACCATTTCAGCTTATCGTTTACCAAAACGAACCCTGCTGCAAACCCAACCCTCTTATCCAACATCCCAGTGATTCCTCGTGGAAGTGCAGAGGTGTTCTCGGCTTCCATCAAAGCGAGTGTCATGTCAACACAATCCTTCCCATTCCTTTCTTGACCTGTGTTCGGGCGCGGCCGGCGCTGGTATTGCCTAATTTAAGATCACCAGTTTTTACACATTGAGGATGATTGCTAGTCCCAAGCATCGTCTATTGGTTCTCTGTGTAATTACAGCTGATCTGGCAATAACAGAGTAGCAACCGTGGGCGGTCAATCAAGCTCAAGCAAGCTCAAGCTCAAGCTCATCTGAACTTCTTTTACTGTATTGACAAGAAAGTTTACTCAAGATATTGCAGAGCTATTCTTTCTGAATCCAAATGACAATTCCGGCAAAAGTCCATCTAGGTCCGGTACTTGATTCAACCTGTCCTTTATTGCTGCGTTTATGAGTTTCAGGAACACATTCATCAACGCTATGGGACGTTTCGAGTCCGGGGAACTTGGGTTCCGATTTGGTTTACCCCCGTTGTTTTCCATTTCTCCGGAATTATTTCCGTGACAAATACCTGGTTTAGCATCTCGCTGATCTTCTCAAGGATTTCCGGTTTCAGTTTAATCAGGATGCCATATGATACGCCGTCTATTCCTGGCGCTGAGTACTCTTTTTTTTTTCCTTAAGGTTACCATGAACTCCTCTAGCTTTAAAGCTGATTCGTATCCTAATGGCTCCTGTTTTGAGGTGGTCTTTGGCATATAAACCTCCTTTAGCTTGCCTTCGAAGTAGTGTTCCATGAACTTCATGCCATCTTCCGTGGTCATTTGAGGGTTACTGGTCGTCGACTTTGTTGGCGCGTTGTCAACTCCTTTGATGATGTTCCACATCTGACGACTTGGTGTCGCCTCATCCACCATTTCTGCTAGTTCCTGGCTGTACTTCCTTTTGGCTTTTCTAATCAGTCTTTTGAGGAGTGCTCTTGCCTTTTGAAGCTTTATTAAGTTTGTTTCCGTTTTCTGCCGATTATAATTTCTGAGCTTTTCTCGTTTGATGATGTAAGTCTCGTTGATTTCAGAAGTCCTCCATCTTTTGAGATAGTTTGCTTTCTTGTTTTTGACTGTGATACTGGCTTTTTTCCAGGCATTCGTCGAAAATGTCTTGCATCTCATTGGGATCGTTGATGTATGTATTGCGGCCGGATTTCATTTATTAATTGAATGGCTTTTACCTTGTTGATGCACTTCCTTTTCCCTTCCGCTATTGTGCTTCCGATTTCGACTGTGATGCTTAGGTGATTGCTTCCGAAGTCGTGTTCTGTTGTCTTCCATGTTGAATTGCCAGCTGTTCCCGGAGTTGCTAGCGTCAAATCTACGGTGGAGCTACGGTGGTGGTTAAGCAAGTTGGAGATCTATCATTTAGCAGAACAAACGAAGAGTTTTCAATCAGCGTGTTAATTAGGCTTCCTTTCCTGCGCGTCTGCTTCCAAGTCCCATGTGAGGTGATGTCCGTTCCAGTCTCCTCCAACCAAGACCTCTTCTTCGATGTATGCAAGTGCTTCAAATAGACTCCGTATTTTCGGCAAAATCTCTTCGATTAGCGAGTGATCTGGGGGTACGTATACCGAAATTAGTGTAATAGGGTTGAATCCTTGGACGATCTTTACTGCTACTACTTCTATCGGCAAGAAAACTACCTAGATTTAGGACCTGGTATCCGTAGTTTGAGTGGAGTAGGATCCCTACTCCTCCGTGTCCGCTTGGCCTTCTAGCTGATTCCATGCAGAATCTCCTTAATCTGAAGTACTCTCCTTCCTTCAACAACATTTCATGCAACAAACAAACGTCGATGTTGTTTTCGTCCATAAAGTGGGCCATTTCGGCTCTTGTTTCCATGGGT